GCGCCGCAGCGCGGGGACAAGACGGTGCGCCGCCGCCGGAGGACGCGAGCTTCCACCAGGCCACGCCGTGAGTGAGCGCGCCCCGCGGCCTGGCCGCGCTTCCACTTTCATTTCCCCCGCGGCCCGGCGTGGCCCCGCGGGAAGGCGACCCGGGCGAGCGGCGGGTGACTGGCCACCCCGAGGCCCAGGGTCGTCGGCTCACAGCCCCGAAAGTCGGGTCTGGGTGGCTGTGCGCAGGGGGGCGTGTCGTTGGGAGCGGAAACGTCAGGCTGGCTCCTCCGGGTCCTCCGCCCTGCTTGGCCTGACAGCTGGTGGCAAGGGTGGGGGGAGCTAGGGGCGGCCTCGGTGGGCGTGGGCGGCAGCGACAGCGTGGAGTCCTCGCCTTGGCCTTTGTAGATCTGTTCTGCAGTGCGTCCCACGCTGGATTCTGAGCTCAAGCTGGGGCCATCCTCACACTGAGCTCCTGTGTCAGGCTCAGGAAGGGGCTGGAGTGGCCCTGGCAGGGGCCATAATGTCAGTAACACTTCCTGGTCTCCATTTGGGAACCCCAGGTGCACAGGCAGGCGGTGGGTGAGCGAGCCACCGGCCATTCACTCGGCTCTCGGGTATGGAGGCTAACAGGGGAGCCAGCAATGGATGAGGGAGGGTGGTGGAGGTTCCGCGAGAGACAGTCTCGCCAGGGCATGAAAGTGGGAGTGGAGTGCCATAAGAGGCAGCCCTGGACCCTTCCAAGCTTACATTTTCCTAGGAAAAGTCTCCGCAGGACGTTGGGACTCTAGCTCCCTGGTGCAGACACCCAAGTTGCCAAGGGGATGTCAGTGTATTAGGGACAGGAAGCCGGTTGGTCTGATCGGAAGGAAGTTGCTGACCCCCTCCCTCTCTCTCCTCTCCTTATCTCCACCAGGCCGGTGACCTGCTAGAGCCTGTAACTTGCTATGTGAATGCAGCTTCCTCAAGTGTCCTTTCTGGGCCTCAGTTTCCCCATCTGAACAAGTGGGTTGGGCTGATTGATTTCTCAGGGATATTTCAATTCTATGGCTCTTGAGTGTAAGCTAACTTTAAAGTCTGTGCCAGGCTCTGACTAAGCTGGTCACTGGCCTGGTGGAGTGACTGACAGGGTGGGAACAGCAGGGTCCAACTACCAGTCTTGTGCAAAGAGGCAATCAGAGCACCGTGGAGGAGGAGGGAGGACTGAACCTGCTGGAGTGTGGTCAGGCCCAGTGGGGGAAAAATACACAGGCAGCAGCGAGGGGCTGTGTTCAGGGGTCAGGAAGAAGCTCAGGGTATTTGGCGTAGGGAAGTAGGGCAGGAAAGGTAGGGTGTTGTGCTGAGTGCCAGGGTGAGAGTCTGTGACTGTCAGCAAAGGGGGCTGGGTAACGGTGGAGGACCTGGGAACCCCACTTAATTGCAGTGTAAGTCATTTGAGAAGCACCTGCCCCAGCAGAGCTCCAAATGGAGATGGCAAGTGAAGCACAGAAATCTCCTCCTCTTCACTCAGGGTGCTCAGGTCCCACCCGGGTATTCTTTGGGAAGAAGTAGGGAGTGGGGATGAAAGAGAACCTTCTGCATCTTTGAGGGTTTCTTCCCAAGAGGACAGTGTCCTGCTGAGAGACCTGTCGCTGCTTTCTAAACAGCTCTCATTTTTCCTGACTCCCCACCCTGGCCTGCCTGTTGTGGTTATAAGGAAGGACCCTTCTTCCAAATCTTCTCCAGTAATTTGATTTATGGCCAGAAAGAGCCTCTCCTCCATGTGTACTGTGCCTTTCCTTATACTTAGTGGACACCTTGTCCACCAGCACCCTTCCCAATCCTGCCCACCGGTTACCCAGATGTGAGTGGCTTTCAGGAAAGGAAATCTGGGCTCAGTGTGCCAACGTCAGTCTGAAGGCAAAGCTCTGTGTGGGGCTAGAGTCAAAGCTGAGACTCACCAGGGTCAAAGCACAAGTCAGAGTCCAGCCTGGAACCCCAGCTCAGTGCTTAGCTTATACTCAGCCTCAGCACTCAGTCTCAGGTCAGGGTCAGGGAGTAGCTTGTGGCTACATTTCAGTCTCAGCAGATACTCAGGTCTGCATTTCCTGCTACCTTATACACTCACAGGAGAGATGGATGACAGCCCTGAGATCCTCAGAAAGCCGGCTGTACAGAGTGACCCAGCATTTGCATGTGCCGAATCCACGGTGCTACAGATGTTAGCCAGCATCCAGTGCTGAGGCAGGTTCTAGAACCCAGGACTCTTGCCTCTTTGCCTGGTGCTCTGATTGCTGCTTCCCAAAATCTGTTCTGAGTCTGTGGTCTTTCAAGGGCAGGAGGCAAAGCAAATGAAGCTATAGGTAGGCTCAGCTGGATAGCTCTGTCCGCCCTCCTTGTCCCTCCACATCAGGTCCAAAGCAGTGTCTCTGCAGTGTCAGGTGCAGAGGGACAGCCAGTGACTTCCTCCTGTTTGGAGCTGGAAAAGGCTGGCTTGGGAAGAAGGCCATTCAGCTGTTGTCAGAGGAAGCTGTGCTCTTGGCCTGCCACCCTCCCCCTCCTCCACCCCTCAGCCACACTCAGAGGCCTTCCAGCTGAGCCCTTTCCTCTTTCACAGCAAAAAAAAAAAAAAAAAAGGAAAGGACATTTTTGGTAGAGAAGTCCCTCCTGCTCCCTGGGAATCCCCGGTGGCCGGATGGATACGGGATATCCCAGAGGAAGCCGAAAGCCAGGGCCTTCCTCCTCCCTCCAGCACAAAGCAGCCAGGCTCTCCGACAATGCACAACTGCCTTATGGGGCTTCCAAAAGTCATCTTGTCAAAGCCTCTGTCTCCCAGCGGGCCTGCAGGAGCCTCTCCCACCTTTGTAACCATTTGCAGCAAGTCTGAGGAGCAGCTGTTTGAGCCCAGGGCCAGCCACCTAGCGGTGAGATGCGGTGAAAGCAGAGAGGAGCAGAGAGGAGGAGCTAAAGTAGCCTGGAAAAGGGAGCAGGACGCTGGACCTGGGGGAGGAGGAATTCGAATTCAGGTGGAAAGGGCAGAGATTGCTCTAAGGCTGAGAGGAGAGAGAGAGAGCGAAGTGTTGGGAACTCAAAGGCCGTGTGAAAAGGCCCTGACCGCCTACTCCCCTTCCCCTGGTCCCTGACTGGGCATCCTCAGGTCCTTGCCCCTGGACACCCAGCTCCACCAGCTCTGACCATGGCACTGTGCCTGAAGCAGGTGTTCGCCAAGGACAAGACATTCCGGCCTCGAAAGCGCTTCGAGCCAGGTACACAGCGCTTTGAACTGTACAAGAAGGCACAGGCATCGCTCAAGTCCGGCCTGGACCTGCGCAGTGTGGTGAGGCTACCACCTGGGGAGAGCATCGATGACTGGATCGCGGTCCACGTGGTGGACTTCTTCAACCGCATCAACCTCATCTACGGCACCATGGCCGAGCGCTGCAGCGAGACCAGCTGCCCGGTCATGGCCGGCGGGCCGCGCTACGAGTACCGCTGGCAGGACGAGCACCAGTACCGGCGGCCCGCCAAGCTCTCCGCGCCGCGCTACATGGCGTTGCTCATGGACTGGATCGAGGGCCTCATCAATGATGAGGATGTCTTCCCCACGCGTGTTGGTGAGTGCATCCGGCTAAGGGTCAGCCTGGACAGGAAGGGTAGGAGCCACGGGAAGTCCAATCCACAGATGTAGCATTTAGTTTGATATCGCAGCTCTGGAGAGTGGATGATTTTCATCCCCATATTGTACAAAAGGAAACTGAGGCTGGGACAGGTTGTTTTGCTCAAGGTCAAACTCACCTTTGAGGCTTTTCCGGTGCAAAGCATGAGTGTCCCTCTAGGAGTCACTCCAGCTTAGCAGGTCTTCCAGCTCTGACCTCCAGCCTCCTGGTAGGTCCCTCTGACTCCTGACTCCAGAAGGAAGGGCTTAGAGATTGAGTGGGACCAAATCTTTACCTGAGATTGAGGCACTGAGGGCAGTTTTCCCTTGTCAGGCGCAGGTCACGGGCCTTTTCTTATCTCAGCTGCGCAGCCGAAGTGGGTGAGGGAGGGGAGGGGAAGTGAATGATGTCATTCCAGCCCTGCTTCCCCACCCAAGAGCTGAGCAGGCATGATAATGTGTTCAGGACAGTCCCACCTGTACCCTTGACCCTGGCTCCCACCTGCCTCCTGCTCCTCCCTGCCATACCTCTGGGACTCAGAGAAAGCTGGGGTAGCTGGTCAAGCCCAGAGGGAAGAAGTCAGAGTGCTGGGGGAAACTGGGTACCCAGTCACAATGCTATGGACAGGGCTTCTCTTCCGGCTGCGGCTGCCATATCCTGCACTATCTTGCCTAACAATGAGCCCCCTTATTTTACATAGGTGGAAACTGAGTCCAAAAGAAACTGTGTAGTGAAAACACAGTTCAAATCCTGACTCCAGTCTCATCTGATTAATAATTATGCGGCCTTGGGCAAGAGGCTGCCTCTTTACAAACAACCTCTCTTTTATCACACCTAGAATGACTATCAGGTCCATCAGCGGAATCATAAGGATTAGCGGCCAAAGGTACAAAGGCTGACCTCACAGTTGGAAGTTTCTTTGTGCTCTTCACTATTTGAAGGAATGAGGGAACATCGGAATAAATTCTCAAAGAATTAATAATTATTGGCATGTGGGGTCCCACTTTGTGAATGTGGAAAAGAGAAGGGACTCATGGTAGGGCTGGAGAGGGACGTGGAGATCAGGTCATGAAAGGTCTTGCCTAATGCCACGCGGGGAAGTTAGGACTTAATCCTAACTTCCAGGTTTTTAAAAACAGGCCCAGATGTTGATGGGTTCCGCTTGGAATTGTATGCGTGGGTGTGATCCCTACAGGTGCACATATTTTTGGGGAGAGCTTGAGAGATAAATTTCATCATGGTCTAAGAAGGGTGATCTGAGCCCAAGTGGGGGAAAGGTGGAAGATGATTTGTATTTTGGCAGGGGAAAGGCACAAAAATTAAAAAGGAAAGTATGGGAAAAAGCAAAACTCTCTCTCCCAACCACCACCACCACCAAGGGAAATGTGCTTAGAAGTGGGGCAGGGCCACCCTGGGTGAAGGCTGGCTGCTCAGAGAAGCCAGTGGTGGGTCAGAGTTTATAGGATGTTGATCACACTGTCTGTCCCTCTCCGGCCCCTAGGAGTTCCCTTCCCCAAGAACTTCCAGCAAGTCTGCACCAAGATTCTAACCAGACTCTTCCGAGTCTTTGTCCACGTCTACATCCACCACTTCGATAGCATCCTCAGCATGGGGGCAGAGGCTCATGTCAACACCTGCTACAAGCATTTCTACTACTTCATCCGAGAGTTCAGCCTGGTGGACCAGCGGGAGCTGGAGCCACTGGTGAGCCCAAATCCGACTGCTCTTCCTTGCCAAGGGTACCCTCTGGGAGTTTTCAGACCTACAGGCTACCTGCTGTAAAATACTCCAATACCCTAATGGGTTAACATTTAATAGTGGATTGTGTACTTTAATGGAAAATCCATTCAAGTGTCAGTTTACGACCCCAGATCTGCATCCTAGAGTTGGGGTGGGTGTGGGAAGGACCAGGCTCAGGCAGAAGAGTAGTTAGGCCCTGTACTTTGAGAAGAGGCTGCTGGCAAGCTGAGCTCAGGCTTACTCCTCTACACCTTGTGTCTACAGAGGGAGATGACAGAACGGATCTGTCACTGAGTCCAGGCCTAGATGTTGTTGGACCATCGGAACACAGCGTGGCTGGCAGAGGAGATTCTTGGGATTCCCGTGATAGAAGAATCTGAAGGCCACAGGACTCCTCCACATACCCAGTGCCTCCGGACTTCTGGTTCTCCGAAGTCTGCTTGTGTGTCCCCCTGACTGAATGGAGAAGGAGAGGGCTTCAAGTGGAAAACAGAAGGACTGGAGGAATCAAACCCCTGGCATGAAGTCTGGGAGTGGGGCGGGCTACCAGGTTCTTCTCCATTACTTCATCCTTCCAAGGTGGTTCCCAGGCCTGTTTGGGAAGTGTGTATGTGGCGGAGGGGATGGAAAGACAGGTGCAAGAGAGGAATGCCTGTGTGTGAGTGAGCACAGATGCCAGTGTGAGTGTGTCTGTGAGCGTGATTTTGACTGTGGGGTGTGTCTCAGAGCCAGACGCTCCCTGACACATAAGTAGGCCCTCCAGATGGATGGATGGATGGTTGGATGTATAGAGAGACTGAGACTATTTGACCATGACCACTGTAGGAATAACGATAGGCCAGTATCCCCACTCAGGGTATCTGACCAGGTGTGTGAGTTCATAAAATGCGGTTGTAGATGTAGGACAGGTGAGTTTCTCAGACAACCATCTTCCATCAGCATGAGTCCTGGGAAGCTGGGTGGAAGTTGTAAAGGGGACACTTTACCTGAGTTCCTTAAAGCCCTGGCCTACCACAGCTGTCATTTCTGATTTGCTCAGCCAGGGACTCCAACAAGCTGTCATTTCACTCCTGCTTGTCTCTAGAAGCACCCCATAACAGGCCTTCTGAGCATCCAGATGATCTTTTGTGTTCACAAAGATCTCCTGTCTCTTAAACTGTGAATCATGTACTCTCTAGCTCCCAGATCTATAGGCCTGACTCACAGGATCTGAAGCCCACTACAGAGTAACCCTCCAGCCCAAAAAGCCAGTGGAACTCGACTTGGGAAGTCTGTGGAAGCTTGCCTCCCACCCCAGGACACTGAGGACCATGTAGCTGGGGAAAGCCCCTATCCTAAACATACTTGCCTCCTTCCCAACCATCTCAGAGACATCCCAGCTGGTTGATCTCCACACAGCTATTCACAGAGAGGCTGGGATGTTCAATCAGCAACCCATTGCTCAGTACCTCCGTGTCCAGCCCTGTGCCCCAACCCACAGGTGTGGGAACTCAAGCAGGAATAGGATTCTGCCCTCCCAGAGCCCTACACTGGGAGGCTAGGATGGAGAATCAGAAGGGTCCTGAGAATCAACCAGTCTGAGTCTCTCAGTGTGCAACAGAGGAAACTGAAGCCGGGAGAAGAGAGGAAAACTGTCCACCCTGAGGGTGAATCTTTTGTGGAGCTGGAGTAAAATCAAGGAGTCCTGACTCCCACCCAAGGGCCCATTGATTACTACAGAGAGATACACATGGGAAGAGGTTTTGGCAGATCCTCTCTCTCCAGGACACAACTGTTCTGCTGTAAGCAAAGATTTCTAGCCAGATGGCAAGCACCCCACCTCCCCTTGGGTTGGCTGGGGTTGGCTGCTGAGCCAAGCCTCCAAAATCATGTTCCTTTTGATGGCCTAGAAACTGCCTGTCCTCTGGGGAAACAGAGCTCAAGGCCAGCCAGCTGGGCCTGGGACTTCTGCCTCTGCTGGCTCCAAAGAATTTCCTGAGAGATGCATTCTGGTGTAGCAGCTTTACCAGCAGCTCCGGAGTAAGGGGAGTAGGAGTTTTCCCCAGCATGGACTGCGGCTTGCATGATGGATTCTAGGCTGTGGCAAGGGCTAGTTGTGGGGAATGGTTGGGGGATCTATTTTTGTGAAACAGAGAAAAGACTTTATTGTTGTTATTTTTGGTAAAATAAAAGAAGTAAGGGGCTGGGGATTTAGCTCAGTGGCAAAGCGCCTGCCTGGCAAGCGCAAGGTCGTGAGTTCGGTTCCTGGTACCGGAGAAAAACCAAAAAACAAAAAAAAAAAAAAAAAAAAGAAGTAAACTAAAGCAGTCATTGGTGACAAGCTGTGGTCTGGGTGCCACATGGCTTTTGTCAGACTGTGGAAGGATCCAGGGCAGAATGGAGCTGGGAGGGATTTTGTCTTGAGATCTGGGCCATGGGGAGGGCTGGCTGGCATGATCATGTCTGGCCCTGGCCCAGAGCCACAGGGTGGGGACACCAAGATTCTTCCAGGGTTCTGAGAATTCTAACCCATGCTGGGCTAGGAAATCTTGGTGAAGGGAGGGCTGTTCCTTGTCTTCCAAGAACTCAGTCTGATGGGGAACCTTTTTATTGTAGTTCAATTCCCCTGGCATTGGTTATGGTCATTCTACCCGCTTCATCAAGCTAGATTTGGGGAACTAATGAGTAAAGGGGCAGAGTGGAAATACAGTCCCAGCCCTAATTAGAGGAGAGGAAGCCATTCTTGGCAGAGCTTGAAGTGTGAGAGGTAGGACACAGCACTCACTCCTGAGCCTACTTTCTAGGACACATGTAAGACTGCTGGCTCAGATTTGCTGTCATTTCACTACCACTAATCCACAAGCTTCCCAGACAGTTGAAAAGCAGCTTGGTTCTTAAGTGTCAGCAGAGGCCCACCTAAAGCTCCCCCTCTGCCTGCAAAAGATCTAGCTTAGCTTTGTGCAAGGGCTCTCCTGAGAGCAGGAGGCCTGGGTGTGAGTCCCAGCCCAGACCCCAAGGTGCCATGGAAAGTCCTTTCAGCTTGTAGACCTCAGTTTCCAGAGGGGCCTGCAGAGAAGAACAGACAAGAGAAGAGAAAGGGAGAGAACTGGGACCTAGGTGATCAAAGATCCTCTCCCTCCAACAGGGCAAACCCTACCAGAAGTGGGTCCCAGGAGAGGCACTGTACTGGAATTAGAATGGCAACTTGGTTAGGAAGCCAGCTCAGCTTTGTTTTCCTGTTGGCTCAAGAACCATAACAGTGTCTGGAGCAGGTAAGGAGGGAGTAAGCCATCTTCTCCTCCCTGGAGCACATCACCCCCTGCTGAGTAAAGAACACCCCACCTCCTTTGGCCCCATGAACACTACAGTCTCTTTAAGGTTCACTGCTGCCACCCTACATAGGGAGCTATGAAACGTGGTGGAAAGAGCCACAAGCAGGGCTGGAGTCTCACCTGCTTTGGAGGGGCCCTCCTTCTTCTGAGCCCGCAGCTCCCCCCCCCCCCCCCGCCCGCTCTGATGTTAATTAAGCTTGGTTGCCATGTGAGGAGCATAGCAACTTTGAGAATCTGGATCAGAACACAGGCCTGAGACGGTCATGACCAGCTGGCTATCGAGACAGTTGGGGAAACAGGCCAGCAAGGCCTCTGACGGCTTGAAGCTTGAGCTGCTGGAAGGTGGTAAGTGGGAGATGTTGGGACACACAGGCCTCCAGCTTGGACTGAGTGATTCCAAGAGGAACTGAACACTGAAGCTTGGGAGAAGACCCCCTACCCCTCCATCCGGATTGGGAAATCTAGCGAAGTCCTGAATGTTCCCTAAGGCTCCTCACTTCCTTCCATCACACAGGTGAGGACAGCCCAGAAGGGGAACAGACCATTAAAGTCTAAGAAGCTCTTTAAGTAGTATAGCTCACCAGACCCTCACCACAAGCCTGAGTCACGCAGGGAAGGGGTTTTTATGTCCATCTCACAAAGCAAGAAACAGCATCAGAACCTGAATGAAATCCAAGTTAGAACTGTCCTTCCCTCTCCTGGCACCCACAGCCTGGGGAAGCAGGGCAAGGACCCTGGTTGAGGTATTTAGCTATTTACAGCTGTTTTTCTCCAAGAGCTTTTAAAAGTGTTTTGTTTTTGTTTTTAATTTGGAACAACTGGATATATTTTACTCAAACTCTCATGGGAAATTGTAGGCATCCAGACCTTTAAGAATTAGCCCCTGTTTTAGAAAAGCCTAGAAACATTTCCTCATATTCAAGTGACATTTTAAAATTCCTTCCTGGCTTGCAGAAGCGCTCAGTAAACACTGATTACATCTGCCGCGGACGGGCACACCCCCTCCAGGCGCTTCCCTAGCTTCCCACGCCACCGCCACGCCACTCGGAAAACCGTGGAGCTAGGCCCCGCCCCCGAGCCAGCAATCTCGCCGCCCTCTCTTAGTACGCCTGCGCAATTTACCCGGCTCGCCCCACCCTTCCCTGCAGCCACCAAGGCGCAGGCGCTACCCCTCCCTCTCACGCCCCTCTCTACTCGGGCCCGCCCCTCGGGTCTAGTACCGCCCCTTCCGCGTTCCCGACAGAGACCTGCAGGTAGGGGGTGCGCGCCGCCGCTCCCGCAGTGCTCGGCCAAGGTAAAAGCGAGACGCCCTCGCGTCCCTCGGAGCAGGACGGGGCGGGAGTCTGGAGTGAGTCCATGAGCCCCAGAGGGGCATTCGGGGCCTTAAGAGCGGCTGGAGGTCACGACCCTGTTCTGCTGCTGAGGGACAGCCGAAGGGGACCCTCTTTTAGGACTTTGCGCAGGGCTCCACTGTAACCGGCCAGGGCTCCGTCTGTGCCCAGACCAGGGCGCAGCGTGCGTCCCAGTCCGGGCTCAGCCTGTGCCTAGGGTCTCCCGGCGACTTGGGTGATGACAAGACAGAGCTCGTCGGTGTCTGAGGTTGGAGATCAGCCCTAACTGGAGGTCAGGGTAAGGCTGTGGCAGGGCTCAAGGTGCAGGCAGTCCAACGTGGAGAATTTATAAACTGTGTGTCCTGCGTTGTTTTACAGTTAGCTGTTTTCGTTTATTTAACAAGACAGTACTGAAAAGCTCCTGCCATGTGCTGGTGGTTGTCCAGTGGTGAGAGGTAGCAGCTTCAGGTGCAGTCTCTCTCTTTCAAGACCTTCCAGGCTACCTGCGGGAATTGCAGTGGAAGGTTAAAGGCCAGCATGGTGACAGGAATGAGACAACTCAGGGGATCGCATCTGTGCCACCTCCCAGCTGTATGACCTCGGGCAAGTCATCTCCCCTCTCGGCTCGTTTCTCTTCTATAAAATGGGATAATAGGATCACTGTGAAGGATAAATGGGATTATAGCGAACTCAGCTGCTCACTTGTCATGCAGTAGGTACATGATTGCTGTGACTTCAAGAAACTAGGTCATTTTGGTCTGGGATACTTTAGAGAAGCTCTGGGGAAAGAGCTCATCTGATCCAATGGGCTTCACAAGTGAAACTGACCTTGCAGGATGGGAAGGGGACTAGTCCTTAGTGACCATTGCCCATGTCAGGCCAGCTCGTGTTGGGAAGTTGGTGTATAGGGTCCCACTGGATCCTCAGCCATCAACCAGAGCTTTTGGCCAACTGTCCTTAGCTTCAGCCATTCTAAAGAGGGCTGCACTGGGAGCCATGTGAAGAGGAGACCCAGGGTTGGGTTTTTATGGAACTGAGCCAGCTGGAGACTGGTACCCCTACCCCCCTGCTCCATCTCAGCTCTTCTGCTGTAATCCAGAGTTGGCTAGTCTCTTGACTTGTCTGGGAGTCCTTTACCCTAGTGCTTAGCAGATTTTGACAGTTAGGGGGCCTGGCAACTCCGATCTTGTGAGGCTAAAACAGAGGAGAGAAGATCTGTGAATAAGAGCTGTTAGACTGCAGCACACACGTAGTTGGGAAGTGCATGGTCTCCTGTTAGCTGGTCCCACAGTAATTCTGAATGTGTTTACTTTTGCATCCTCCTCGTGAGTGTCCGTGTGATCTTCCTGAGACAATGTTGTGCTTGTGTTGTGCTGTATCTCTGCTCAGAAATTCTTGCAAACTTCAGTGGATGCTGAAGAAGTTGCTCCATAATCTCTCCTCCCAAAACCCCGTTTCTGCCCTGTTTCCATTGTTTTGCCAAACCTGCACCCTGTGCCCTAGTCCAAATAAACTAGTCTGTGTTCCTTAAACAATCCCTGCCATGCTGCTCCAGCCTGTGCGTGCATTCCCTCCCATTTTTCATCTTTCAAGCCCCGTGTTTCATATGCCCTGCTTGGTGACGGATCAGTTGCTCCCCTTCCCATCTTCTGCATCAGAGGCTGAACTTCTGCTAGAGCTCTATGACAGTCTGCTCCGGGGTATGGTGCCCCGTATGTACTCTTGAATAATTGGTGGCAAGGGACAGTGTCTGTTTCAGTGCTCCTCTGCCTGACACAAGGCTGACATATAGTAGGTCTCTGAAATCTTTAGGATTAAATCAATCGGTAACATTTTTTATGTACTTTCGTCCTTGGTCTTCTGAGCTGTCTGGGTCAGAGGGGGCCTTTGTGTTTTTCCTTTTCTTTGTGGCTAGAAGGGCAGTAGTTTATATTGATGGTACCCTAATTACAGGCATCAAAGGCTAGCAAGTGTAGGAATTCTGCTTGAGCCAGGATTCCACGTTGCTGCTCTTATTTGCAGGCCAGTGTCTTGCCTTTGCTGTGAGTTTTGTTGGGAAGTTGTTAGGGCTCCATTCAGGGATCTGCTCAGTCTACGGGTACAGGTCACGCAGGGAAAGCTCACAGGTGGCAGACTAATCAGTTGTTCTGCCCTTGGCTTTGGTAAACAGTTGTCTTTCCCACCTGGGAACAGCAGCTACACATTCACATTTTTCCTTGCCAACAGCCTCAGCATATGGACAGAAGGTTCTGTGTTGATCATAGAAAATACGTGTTGTTGGAAGTAGAAGGAGCTTGGGAACCATCTGGTTCTATCACTTTCATTTCACAGACAGGGAAAGACCCAGAGAAGAGAATGGACTGACTCAAGATTATACAAGGAATCAGGCAGGGGTAGAGAGAGTTCTGGAAGTGCAGCCTCCTGTTTTTCCAGCCGGTTTGTTTTGTCTTGTTTTGTTTTGTCTTGTTTTGTTTTGTTTCGTTTGAGACACAGTGTAGTTCAGGCTGGCCTTCAGTTCACTGTGTAGCCCAGGCTGGCCTCAAACTTATGGCAGTCCTCTTGCATCAGCCTCCAGAGTGCTGGGATTACAGGTGTGCACCACTACACTCAGCTTCAGCCTGTTACTTTTTAAAATAATTTTTAAATTATTTAATGTTAAATTTTTGAGACAGAATCCTGTGTTGTGCCAGCTGGCCTCAACTTCCCTGCTTTCAAGAGATCATCCTGTCTCAGCCTCCTGAGTAGCTAGGACATGTGCCACCATGCCTGGGTCTACAGTATTAATATAGTATCTAATAATTGTTGAGTGGTAGATTCTGTTTTCAACAATTCAAACAATTTTATAGACTGAGAAACTGAGGCAGCTAGAAATCATTTAGATCTGTTTTCTGATCCTACAACTCTGGTTTCTAGTATGGTTTTAATTGCAGTCACCTCTGCCCAGTGGGGTGGAACAGTTTTCCAAAGAGCTTCCTCCCAGATCCCCTTCCTGTATGCCTGAGAGACATCTTCCTAGCAGTGTCTCCCTGCATGTGGAGAGATGTCCAGAGAGGACTGTAGGCTGTGTTGGCAGAATGGAGGAAGGAATGAAGCAAGTACACCTTAGTACTAGTGGGTTCTAGTTTAGGAATATGAATATACCTCAAAAACTGCCTCTTTATTAAGTCAGACACTAAACACTTAGTTTTAGGTGGGAGGAAAACTTAGTTCTGGATCTTTCTATAATGACTCCTAGTCTAGGATGGAAAGATTTAATTCAGTAAGTTCTTATTAAGCTCTTGCAGTATACAAACCCCTGGAATTGAGAAATGTACACTGAAAACAGCACATTTCTTGCCCTTCTGTAAGTAATGGTCTTCTCCGAGTTTCTCCCTCCAGTGTAGTTGGGAAGATAGATAAGTACATAAATAACTGAAATCAGACCGACTATGGTAAATGTACTAAGGAATATAAACAAAGCGGGAGTTTGGGAGAAGGAAAAATCAATCCCAACGTGACTAGAAGATTCTTGTCTTCTGGTGAGGAATTTATGCTGGGCCTTGGCAGGAGTTCACTCCTGTGAGGAGGAGCAATGTAAGCAGTGGTCTAGAGGAAAATGCATGTGTGTGTGTGTGTGTGTGTGTGTGTGTATGTAGAGAAGAGAAATTGGTGAGGAGGGGAAATACACTGGAATGGTAGATTGTGGACAAAAAGCTGAGGGGGCGGGGAGAACATTAACATTTATCAAATGTCTGCTTTGCGTTGGGGTTTGCAACATGCTTTACCCTCTGTAATTTGTTTAATCCTCCCAATCCCTGTAATATCGGGATATTTATCCTCAATTTAAAGATGAAGAAACCACACCTCAGAAAGATTAAAGTAGGTCAGGTCAGGGAGCCAGCAAGTGGCACAGGAAGCTTGAGCCCGAAAGCGCATGATCTTTCCACTGTGCTGTAGAGCTAGGGGCCGCGACCAGAGCTCCCATTACTGTGGCCGCAGGATGGAGACTGACGGGAGCAGAGAAGCTCCCGGAGTGGGGACCCCGGTGAGGAAGCTTCAGACTATTCCGTACTCACCTGGTGTCGCAGCTGCCAGGTCCAGATCTGCTCCACCTGGTGAATATGTGAGCATCTTGGCAGCCCCTGCAACACCATTGGTCAGTGCACTGCCGTCCTTAACTCATAGAATCTTGGGATGAGTTCACAAAAGCTGTGGGCTGCCCTGTACCTCAGGCATGAGCTGTGATGTGCGATTGGCAGTTCGCTGCAGAAGTGTCTTCTAGGGAGACAGCCCATCCTACACATCCCATTGCCTCACATTCACCGAGAATCTGTAATGGAGGAAGGAGCGCTACAAGTGAGACAGGAGGCCGGCATTCCAGGCCTGGTCTGCTCTCCCCCACTGTGAGTCCTCGGTCTCAGCTTCCTTCCCCAGCACAGTGGGCTATGTGAGTTCTCTTCCCAAGGCTTGTCCCTTGCCAGTGTCTTGTATTGCTTTTCTCTTCCAGACTTGGGGCAGTCTAAGGGAATAGCACAGAATATGAACCTGAATTCAGAGAGGCTAGGGCTTAAGTGTCAGCCTTTCATCCCTAACAAAGAGAGAGTAGGTAGGGTATAGACTAGAACCAAACTGTCTGCATTTGAATCCTGCTTTGTGGCTGGCTAGCTGTGTGACTCAGGCAAGTCATGTAACCTTACTTGGTCTCAGGTTCTTTATAAAGCGGTACTACCTACCTTGTGGGGTTCTTAAGAAAACTGAGGAAGTCTGTTAACCAGCACAGTACCTGGCATGTAGTAGGTGCGCAATGAATGTTAGCTTTAATAATAATAATAATAATACTGGTCATTATATTAATACCCAGTTCGGTAGTATTTTTATAGAAAGTACCTTTATTAGGACCTTTCTCTCTACTACCTCACTCTAATTTTGTTTTGTTTGTGAGACAGGGTCTGTCTGTGTAGCTCTGCTGGCCTCAAACTCAGTAATTCTCCTACTTCAACCTCTGGAATGCTGGGATTCATCCATGTACCCCCGTACCCCACTCACTCAGGCATTATTATCTTCTCTCTTTCCATTGCACTAGCAGGAAACTTGGAAATACTAGATTAGTCCATCACAGGGTTACAAATCCTGACATGACAAAAAGTGCCTGCAGGAAAAAGGTCAATAAAAAGTCAGTGGCTTGTTAGAAAATCTCACCTGACTCGTGATTCCTCTGCCTCTTTCTGCAGTAATCAAGACCAGAGCAGCGTATTCATTTCCTTTTGCACAGCTGTCAGCAGAAGTGCTAAGCAAGACCCGTACAGAACAGCAGTGCAGTATCTCTGGAAAAGTGGTGCCTATTTTGGTTCTTTCTCTCCAGTTTAAGCCCTTCTGGCCTTAACTTAAGCCAGTCCTTATTGTTCTGTTTCCAATGAATATGGAAAAGTTTCTTCTGATAATAAAGGAAGGATGAGATCAAGATTTTCTCATGAGAACCTTTTCTGTACTTAAAGCCAGAATCCAGTTAGACCTCATCTTCTCTTCTCCAGACTAAACAGCCTGGGCTGCTTTCTCCTCGCCTACAAAACCTATTTTCCATTGCTTGGATCACATTGGTTATGCTTCTTTTCTTTCTCTTTGGTTTTTCTACTTCCTGGCAGTGACCAGGACTGTGCTCAGTCTGCTAAAAAAGAGTACAACCAAAGTAGTTTAAGAGCAGAATAGCTTCAGAGAATGTATTCATTCATTAACACTTAGGAAGCATTTGCCCTGTGGCAGGCTGTGTACTAGGTGTAGGGGAATCAGAGCTCACTCAGACACAGTATCTGTCCCATCCCCAGCTCTGTCTCAGATGAGGTGTTTTGTTTTGTTTTGTTTTGTTTTGTTTTGAGACAGGGTCTCGCTATGTAGGCCAGGCTGGCCTCAAACTTGGGGCAATCCTCCTGCCTCAGGCTCCTAAGTGCTGGGATTACAGGCGTGTGCCACAGTACTCGACTTTAGGATGAGATGTGTAATGAAATGTCACAGTGTGATTGAGTTATGCACACATGGGAGAAGCTGGAAATTGTTCAGGGCCGTCAAGTAGAAGCAGCTCCTGCAGCTGGAGTGCAGGTGAAGGCTTCTGGAAGGGACTGGAAAACAGGAAGGCCAGGTTGGGCAACACTAGAGAGGCCCTTCATGACCACACAGGAACTTTGTTTTTCCAAAGGCAATAACACCCGTTAGAGGTTTTGGAGCAAGGAAATGACAGGTGCAGGTCCAGCTCTTTGGACCACAGATGGAAATTCTCTAAGTTGTAGTCTTTTTGGTGCCCCACGGATATTGTCCATCTTGAAGGTACTGTGATGGATCCCTTCTTTCTCAGAGTTTTTTGCTTTAGAACTTCTACAAGAGGTCTATTTTCTTTTTTTATTTTTTTTTTGAAATGGGGCCTTGCCATGTGGTTTAGGCTGGCCCTGAACTCGCAGTGATTCTCCTATCTCGGCCTTCTGAGTGCTTGGCTGAGACAGGAGAATCACTGTGAGTTTGAGGCCAGCCTGGGCTACATAGTGAGTTCAAGGCCAGGCTGAACTACATGGTGAGACGCTGTCTCAAAACATCGGAAAAAAAAAAAAAAGAAAGAAAAATCTGTGGCAAGACTAAAGGCCCAGAGTCCAAAGGCATTACAACTGTCCCGGCAGTGCCTGGCAGGAAGAACAAGGACCAAGTTTCCTTGAGCCTTGGAAGCAATCTCACTGGCTCTCAGAGATTTGTCCGGGAATTAAAAACTACAGTAGGCAAGACTGTCCACTGTTCTAATGTCGCCGATGGACAGTAAAGAGTTACCTTGTGGATGAAATCATTCAGTTTTACTGGAGCCCTATTTTGGTGCCAGATACTGTCAGTTGCCAGAACTACAGAGATGAAGAACATAAATCTCTGTCTTTGAGGAGCTTATGGCCTGGTCGGAGGGCCACATAGGCATGTGTGTAGCCTGCCCTGTGTTGTAAAGGAATACTGTGGGTTTCATGAGATACAGGATGAGGTAGAAAGTCAAGGCTGCTTCTGGAACTTGCAGGATTACTCTTAGTAATTTGTGATGGACTTCAAGGGACAAATAGGAGTTATTTTTCAAGGAATTGAAAAATATACAAGGTTAAGGAAAATATACAAGGTTAAGGAAAAGCCTAATAGTGTCAGCATCGGGAACCTATGTAGATGGAGGAGAAAGAGGTATTGGAAATAATTTAAAGGCTGGGTGACTGGCAGGATGATGTAATCCGATAGAGAAGAAATCAAGAGGAAGGAAGCTGTGGGTAGGGGTGTGGGACAAGTCCACTCTGAGACATGTGGTTTGAGGCAATGTTGAGACACATCCAGCTTCCAGTTAGACAGCCCTTTTACAGATTTTGGCACAAAGGCCCAAAATTCAGATTTAAGCTGCATTTTTGGAGCTTTTCTCCTGGGGAAAGAGGAAGTACATATTTATTTAATAGAGAAGAACTTGACAAAGCAACTTTGGCACTTGATGGCTATAGTCACAGGATTAAACAAAGCAGCGGACATACAGAAAATGAAGGCATCACATTGGAAACCGGCAATATTTATGCATTTGGCATAAGACTTTTCCACTCATGCCTCCTGCTGTTCTCGGCATCTGCTTTCTCTTCCTGGCACTGTGACCTGTTGCCTGTGAGACTCAGGCCTGGCCACTAGGAGATAGAACCAGATCCCATCCATCTCTAAAAAGCGGGCCGCACAGAACCGTCAGCTTTTACCTTTTGCACAAGTCTCCTCGGATTGACAGAGGGGTCTGTCACTGTCACCCTGGCCCAGTTAGGCCTTTTGGGATGTGAAGTCCCACAGTGGAAACTGAATCTGAAAAATCTTCCTGGCCCCTCATTAAATCTTCAGAGCTTAGCGTCAGCATTTGCAGATACTGACCTATCTGATTTTAAATCCTAGGGACATGTGTGCCTTCCACGTGCATATCTGCTCCCTGGTATAACTCACAGGGCTGGGGACGCGGGTGGGTCTCTGTCTTCTCTGGGTCCTGTTAGAGCAGTCAGCATTTTCATGTCCTTTCTACTTCTGCTTCTTGAAGGCTTTCATGCCACATAAGATGAAGCAGAAGCAGATGGAGAACTGAAGAACAGCAGCTGAGCGCAGAAGCCAGTGGAACCCTTCCTGTGGCTGGAAGGCACCAACCCCTGACCGCAGCATCATTTCCCTTGGAATTTCAAGTTCAAAGAAACCTATAGGTAAGATTGGATGTACATTTCACTTAGCCTTTTAGGTTACTTCAAAATGAAAGTATGTGCTATTTCCAGAGAAAGGTGTGGACCTACAGTCACCTAAGCTGTCAGTAATATTCACGGTAGGTGGGTTGGTTGGTTTGTTGGTTTCTTGGTTTGTTTTGAGACAGGGTCTCACCATGGAGTCCAGGCTGGCCTTGAACTCACTATGTAACCGAGGCTGGCCTCAAACTCACAGCGATGCTCATGCGTCAGCCTCCTAAGTGCTGGGTTTTTGGTTGGGCAGCTGAACTCAACTGAGCAGCCTGGGGTGCCTAACCTCCTCAGGAGGAAGCACATTTCTTCCAGAAAAAAATGGCCACGGGACATAAGGAGATATGCACTAAGTCGGACATATTTACTTACTTTTGATTGCAAAAGTAAATCAATATAACAGAAGTATAAAAAAGTGGAATTCAAGTTAGGCGTGGTGGCACACACCCCAGCATTCTTAAAGGGAAAGGGAAGAGAATGAAGTTCAGGCCCAACCTGCAAGACCTTATTCCAAAACAAAAAGAGCTGGGGATATAGCTTAGTGCAAAGGTCTCAGTTCACTCTCCAGTACCCAAAAAAAAAAAAAAAAAGAAAGAAATTCTTGCAGAGATCCAATCTTACTCTCCCCAAGGAACCACTGTTAATAATCTGGGATGTATCTCTTCTGATTCCTTTTTAACTTACATATGACATATATAATGATTTTTCCATTTTTTTTTTTTTTTTTGAGACAAGGTCTCACTATATAATTCAGTCTGGCCTTAAACGAACTATGTAGCCCAGGCTGGCCTTGAACTCAAGGCAATCCTCTTGCCTCATCCTCCTCAGTGCTTGGATTACAGACATGTGCCACCACGCCCAGCCTATAGTGATATTTTGAAGCATTTTGTGTTCCATTTTAATCTGAGCTTTTGGCATGCCTGGCCAAGTATAAGTCATTCATAGATTTGGCTGGGTGAGATGGTTATAGCCTTGTCTGTGAGTTTTCATGGTCCCTGGCTACTATGTGACGTTGCTTACTTCTGAAGCTTCCAGGTAGCACCACTGTCTTCTCTTGCTCCCCACCCCAACACAGCTCCCCTTCCTGAGTTCTCCCCTTCTCAGATGGCACTATGTTCTTATGGTACCTGGTTTTAGTTTAAAAGTATTGTAGTTTTTTGTTTGTTTGTTTGTTTTGTCTTTTTGAGACAGGGTCTCACTATGCAGTTCAGGTTGATCTTGAACTCACTTTGTAGCCCCGGCTGTTCTTGAACTCGCAGCGATCCTCCTGCCTCAGCCTCCTGAGTGCTGGGATTGCAGGCATGCGTCACCACACCCGGCAGCATTGTGTTTTTTGTTTTGTTTTTGACACAGGGTCTCACTATGTAGCCCAGGCTGGCCTTGAACTCTCAACAATCCCAGTACTAGGATTATAAGTGTATGCCACTATGCCCAGCTTTAAAAAGCATATATGTATGAATATGTGCGAGGATCACCTCTGCCTGCCTTCATTTTAGGCAGTAGAGATAAAGAAGAATGAGGGCTGGGGATTTAGCTCAGCGGCAAAGCGCCTGCCTGGCAAGCGCAAGGTCGTGAGTTCGGTTCCCGGTACCGGAGAAAAACCAAAACCAAAAAAAAAAAAGAAGAATGAGACACTGTCTGTTCCTGGAAGGAGGGTGTAGCCTTCGGCTCCTCTTCCATCTCCAGTCATTGGCTCTATGAAGATGAATTCTGCCTCTGTAGCTGCCTCCCTCCCCCTGTGGCAGATCTTGGCTTTCTCTTCCTTGTGCTGCCCTCTCAGGTGCAGGCCTTCCCTGCCTTCCCCCAAACTATTGCAGCAGCCTCCCTCACCTTTCATGTCCCCCAGCTTGCAGCTGTTTTGCTGTAGCTCCCCCTTGCCAGGAGCAGTGGTTGATGGATTTTCGTAGAAGTACTAAAATAGTATTTTTTGGTGCCAAGTGACAGTGAGGAGCCACTGTTCAAGGCAGTGACACTGCACTGTGCTAGTAACCATTGGGTGCTTCACTGTTGCACCCTTACGATTTTTTTTTAAAAAGCCATTTTCACTTAAGAGTGTCCTTGATGAAGGAGTAAAAATTACCAATTGTGTTGAATTTCAGTCTTTGAGTACACTGTGTGTGCATGTGTGCTGCTAAAGGCTTGGACCCAGGGCTTCACGCATGCTGGGAAAGTGCTCTATCACCGAGCTACATCTCCAGTAGGTACGCAGTGCACTTCTGCTGCATATCGGAGCACAGTGGTGCCCCCAAGGAAAAACACTTCAGGGACTGTTGGAATTATAAACCGAATGAGCTGCTGTGTTGAAAGGGTGAGTTGATTGTTGAGGATAGGAGAAATGTGAGGACAGGTCCTGTAGGGCTTGAGTCATGGTGATAAGCTTGGGTGACACACTGCAGCCTGTCTTTCTCGGTCTTCACTCTGTTCCTCACCCAGGTGCTACCGTGATCCATAAGTACACACTCCCTTCTGCCCTCTCTGTCCTTCCTCTTGTCATTCCTCCCACCAGGAGATGCAGTGCAGCCCTGAAGGTTGCTTGTGACTCCAGAATCATCAGAGGAAAAAATGGGCCTGAATCTAGACCTTTGGCCTGCAGGACTCTCCCCGTCCCAGTCCTGTTGGAAGCCTGCTGTGGGTCACCCTGCTGGCCCCGAGCAGGACTCCCTGCCGGCTCCGCTGCAGTCTGTGTGAGGCGGGCCAGCCTTCCCGTCCACAGGACTCCAGAGAAAGGACCCTTCAGCCCTGTGGGATCTTACTCGCTGTCTTCTGAGCTGATCCCAGAGAGCTCCTCGCATCTGTGTATACTAAATTTGACCATCTTCTCTTGAGTGTGCCCTTGCTTTGTCTCCTGTGTAATGATGGTATCAGAAAGCACATCCACCCATGACCAGGCCCGGCAGGAGAATATAGGCTTGAACCTGACACCAAGACTTTGATTGGAGTTCATCTACCATAAGACAACAGAGCACAGAACACAAAGACACCTGAGAGCAAAAGGAAACTTCTGGTAGGTGAGACTTTAGAGTAGTGTAATAGTGGGGATATGATGACCGTGCCCCTGTGTTTACGGAGGCTAGAGCACTGCTGCCCAACCTTTTGACATCACAGCACATGGTAGTGCCCAGCACGCCTGTGTAAACAGAGCCCGAGGTCAATGAGGACTGATGAGCATCTCGTCCCCGGCACATGAGGCGGGAAGCTGTGCGCCAAGCCGTGTAAACGACAGCGTTCTCAGTGGTTCCTGGCTGACTTTTATTGGCTACACCTTCCAGCCTTTTCCAACATTAATGTTTAAGTAGGTGTAATGGCTAACAGCTTAAACTCTGAGCCAGACTGTCTAGATCAAAATCCCAGTCTGTTACTTGCTAGCTACGTGAACGTGGACAAATCATTTTCTGTCCTTGTATCTGAGTTTTTTCATCTGCAAACTGTGGGCAGTAACTGTGCGTCCCTTAGAGTTGTGAAGATGAGACAAGGGCTGTGAGTAGAGTGTAGTATGTGTCACATGCCTCAAACACCGCCTCAAGTGTGGTGAGCCCACAAAGGGTGTGCACCGCAAGCCCTCCTAGTGGGAGTGAGCCGTGTGCCTGCGCTGCCTCTTCAGAGTCATGCCCACTCCGGGTCAGTCTCCTGGCCCCGCACATTGCCTCCTCCACTCTGTCACGTGGCTTAGTCTTGGCCTCTTCCTAAGAGTATCTGTCCTATTTCTTTCAGTTCCTGTTTTCCTTTTTTGTTTGGGGGCCTTGTGCATGCTAGCGCTCTACCACCAAGCCACCCCCAGTCTTTCAGTTGTCTCAGCTCTCCCCTCAAATGGCGGGTGCCTGAGGAGACAGCTGAGCCCATGGTTTGAATCTCCACTGATCCTTCTCTAGAGAGCCTTGTGGATGAAGCAAGTGCTCACACAGGTTGGGACCTTGGAAGAGCTTGAGAGTGGTTGGGTGGAGGGAGCGGCCATTTGCAGAGCTGAGTTAACCAGAAGACCCCCTTCTGTAGCACACTCCAGATGTGACCGCAGCTGGAATGCACGTCTGGTGGCTCAAGGGACAGTGCACCTCATCAGGCTTTGCAGAGAAATAACACAGCTCTTTCCGAAGGTGGGCCTTGAGGTCACCTGTGGGGGGAGCAGTGGTTGGTACCTGTTGCTATTGCGGTTCCCCCCGGTCCCCTGGGACTCCTCGGCCCCTCCCCATCTCTCTGAGTTCTCTAGGTTACTCCCTGTGCAGGTGCCAGCTTGAGTCTTGGATCTATATTCTAACACCTGCTACGTTTCCAGTAGTTGGACTTGTTGGTTAACAGGTTTGTTTGGTTTTTTTTTTTTTTGGTACCGGGAATCGAACTCATGACCTCAGGCTTGCCAGGCAAAGCTAACAGGTTCCACAAAGAAACAAAAACATGCATCCCTGTGCTATCAGAGAAAACAAGAAAAACGTATGCCTAAGAATAAAAACCTTAGTTGTCAGTGCCCATGATCTGATCGATCATCACTTCCCCATCTACTCTGTGTCCCAGCCAGCTACACGATGGCTGGTGGCCCTAACCAGCTATGCCACCTCTTCTGTGGGACTCACTCTTCAGACTGGGAATTCTCCCTCAGAGCCATTCTGGGCAGCTCCCACTTATCCTCGGTGCTGGCTTAGCTTTCTTGTCCTCTACCTGTCTGAGTTAGGGTCTTCTCTTCCATTTCACAGCACCTGTTGCTTCTCTATCACAACCCTTGTCCTATATTGAAATTGTTTTACATGTCAGGAGATTTTAATTCCACGACAGCAGAGACAGTGTCTCTTACATTCTCCCTATCTAGTTAGATCAGTAGTTGCCTAACAGATACGGTATCCGTTGAATGAATAAGTTAGTGGCACTTCCACATGTAGTCTATTTGATTTCCGCGGCAGCCTCATGATGTAGCCAGCTCAGCCTTACTCTTACCCAGCTACTGCCACGGCAAGGAGCCAGGCATCTTGCCAGGGTCTGGCAGGAGTGGGGAGCACAGCTCTCAGGCGCCAATGTTCAGGGCCTTTTGTTGTCGTTTTGGAGTACTGGGGACTAAACCTAGGGACTTGCACTAGACAAGGGCTCTATGTTTTTAAAACTTTTTAAAATTTTGAGACAGGGTCTTCATCAGTTGCCCAGGTTGGTTTTAAACTTGTGCTCCTCCTTGCTTGACCTTCCAAGTAGCTGGGGTTACAGGTATGCCTGCTATACCCTACATGATAGTTGTTTTTATAAAGTATTTCTTTTCTTTAAAAAGAGCATTTTAGCCAGGCTTATGGCACACTCCTATAGTCCCAGCATTTGGGAGGCTGAAGCAGGAAGATTGCAAGTTGGAGACCATCCTGGGCTGCATAGTGAGTTCAAGGCCAACTTGAACTACATAATGAGACCCTTCTCAAAAATAAAAACAAAAAAATATCATTTAAAAATATATACATAAAAATAGCATTTGTGTTTTTCACAATTGTAAAATTAGTACCTTGTTTTCACTGTTATAATAACTAATTTATCTTGCATTTTACAGAAGTCTATGAACGACTTTAAAAAAGCATCTCCTTACCCATCGTATTTCTCTGACAGTCGTTAAAGTAGGCAATAAGTATGTCAACAGTTTGAGCGTCAACAAGGATTTCAGATCAACCAACCACTCACCAAAGAACTTGGCAGCTTTTCTGTCTTGTTTTTAATACAGTGATATATCTACGCTGATGGTAAACCTGTCCGGCCAATTCCTCAAAACACACTTCGCAAAATCAGTGGTGATTAACAAATTAGTTAGCTTTGGTATATGGAGCTGTGCTTGCTTGCCTGTGACAGCCTGGAAGCCAGTTTTGATACTGGTAACAGAGCATCGAGAAGGACAAGTTTCACACTGTAAGATACAGAGCTGGGGGGAAAAAAAAATAGAGCCGGATGTCGTTCTGCAGAATTGTGTCTGGTGATCGGCATGTGTGACAAGTGACATATTCCTTGATATATCTTCTTAAGACATTTTCTGTTTCTGTTGGAATCTTCCTTTGATTACAAGTTGGTTATTGCCATCTGTAGAACCACTTGTACCCAATTCTACCAATAAAAACACAAAGAGATGTTTGGGCTGATAATGTAATGGTTTACAGATATCCGTAAAGTTGACAAAAGAAGTTCTCCTGGTTCCTACTCGGACGACCTGTGGAGGTTTCATGACAAATTTTCTTTTCTCTCCTGCAACCATACCTGCGTTCTTTTCCCTCATGATGTTGAGTACTCGATTCAGTAGCTCTTCAGATGTGTGGTCTCTCCGAGCCTGCCCAGGCAGGGCCTGTCTGCTTACTGAATGAGAGATCTTTGTCTTTTTTTCTGTCTTCATCTTCTAAAGCTTTGTCTTTTTCTAGTATTTCATCCTCATCTGGGAACTTGACATTCTTCTTTTTTTTCTTTTTATTGCCAAGCGTAATATCAAGGTGATCATTTGGTAAAATTAGTATCTTTAAGGTACCACATTCCCATAATACTTTTCCCTCATTGAATATTGAATTTCAGTACAGAGAAAAATATAGTTTTTAGTTTTTTTGGGGGAGGGGTGGTTCTGGTACCAGGAATCGAACTCCCGACCTCTTGCTTGCCAGGCAGGGCGCTGTGCTGCTGAGCTAAATCCCCAGCCCCAAAATATAGTTTTAAAAACCATAATCAGGTTCTAAATTCTAGATCTAAGTTCTAAATTCTAGTGTAAAGAAAAATTATGTATTTCATTAAAAAATAAAATTTGATTTAAATAACAGCATGAAAATAATTCCATTGTATACAATTTATATAACATTGAAAAATATGAAAAAGACAATACAGTCACACAGAGAACACTACTGTAGACTAGGGGTGGCCTGGACTTGAAAGGGCCGCATCGAGTTTGAGTCTCAGTGAAGCTGTTAACTGTGTGTTTGGCATTTGGTAGGTTACCAGCTATATGCTCTGAGTGCGTTTCCTTACCTGAAATATGGAATGGTATTTACCGTTTGGGATTACTGTAAGAATTAGCCACACATCTTATACCCAGCTCAGTGCTTGGCACATCATTGGTGCTCTTTAAAAGGTAGTGGCATTGACAGTTTGGTGTATTTCTGTCCAGACTTTTCACTTTCTTGTGTGTTCACACATATACACCTCCACGTACACCTGTTTTTTGAAGCACATTTATATTAAGTATATCGTTGGGTCTTTCTAGCAAGCCTGTGAGGTGGGCAGGACAAATAGACAGAGCAGGCATATTTTTAAACCTGTTCTCTAGACAGAAGAAGCTGAGATTCTGTGAGGCAAAAAGTGACTTGGCCTTGGTGCTGTGTGGTGGCATCTGGACCCGGATTTCCACCTTGGTGTCCTACGCCAAGCCCATGTGCCTTCCCTACGGCAGTGTGCTTCCTCGCCACCTCCACCAGGAATGCAGCGTGGGCCTCCAGACCCGCCGAGAGGAAGGTGAGGTCTAGAGACAGCAGGAGTGTTGAGAGCCTCCAGAGCAGCCGGGTCTGTCTGGAAACTGAGAAATGCGTACTTCTTTAAAATAACAGACACATTTTCCAACACCATGGCAACAACCAGCCTTCTGGTTAGAAAGTTAAGGACCTTTGGTCATAGGGCCTGTGGAGAGGGAGCATGGCAGAGAATTAATGGATAGAATTCCTGAACCAAATGCATAGATGAGAAGAGCTGCATTTTCTGTGGGGCACAGATGTACCCACATTTCCTTCAGAGTAACTGGGGACCTACAGGGCCCCTGTGACACCCACTGCGCCTAATACTCACCGTGTGCATCATTTCATGTTGTTTCCATCTCAGTGCATGGTTTCTGAGGCTCATCTGTGTCTGACATTTGATGCCACAGCTTATCAAAGAGACAGAGTCTTGGCCTTAAGAACACAGGGGAGCTCTTAGCACCAAATCAAACCAGCACTGTAACAGAGCTCCTCACAGGAGGTTTGGGAGCAGAAGACTGAGCACAAACTCTAACTCCTCTGCAGTTATTGGGGGTAAAGGGTAGGGTTCCCTTTGTTTCAGAGAGACAAGGACTTTTAAACTGGTTTTGAAGGCCAAGAACTCTTCCTGTGCCAGGGGCCGCAGGTGGCCACGGTACAGCTTGACTGTGGGAACTTCTGCCTGAGGAAGCATTTATCCAGTGGTTGCAGGCATACCGAGTTAAGGGCCTGCTTGCCTTGGGTCACCACAGAAGGTGACTCCCTGTGGCCTGTCCCCGGAGGAGGGACTGGTAACCCCTTGGGGAGATTGTGCTACCTCTCATCACCTCCCACCTCTCACTGTGAAAGCAGGGAAGTTAAACGTGTTTCTTTCACCTCACTGTCTTTCTGCATTTTTCCTTTCTAGTTTCAAAAAAACTCGCAAGTTCTGTTTGCAAGGGCAGTCTTACCCATTTGTCCCTTCTGGTGTCTCCTCTTCCATTGAGATCCATGCAGAATAGACCAGGTACTCTGTCTTGTGTGTGTGAAGCCATAAAATCTAATATTGAGTGTTTGGCGGTGCCCAGAGCTATGCTGCTTGCACAAGAGGCTCCATAGACCTGCTGTGGTGAAGAGCAAGTATAAATTGTTGCTATCAGGGTTTTGTAGCTAGAGCCATAGTATGGCTGAGCGGCTCCTGTGAGTCACAATGCTGCCAGCTCTCCTGCTGCTCCTGTGCACCACCTGCCTGTCGGCCGTTTCTTTCGCTTGTCTGCAGGCCCCAATCACAGTGTGAGCCTGGGAGGGAGAAGGAGCAAAGCCCCACACTTGGCTTGCCGCACCGATAAGAAAATAGCTGGGACAGGGGCGGCACTGGACTGCGTGCAAGGTTAGGGCCCAAGGGACAGGATTCCTTCCTTCCCAACCTATTGCCCCCAAGGCCAGTGTTCCCTCCTCAAGCTCCTGAAGACGAGTGACCTTACATTCTATTTCTGTACAGTTTCTCACTATGTTCAACAAAGGCGCAGGGACAGCATTTTGCCTCCTGACTCACCTAGCTGAAGTTAGCATTCCAGTGCCAAGGTTTAATTCTTTGAATTCAAGATAGGATATTGTTGTCCCCACATGTAACTTGTGCCTAAAATTGTGGGATGAGATAATATTTTGAGGTCCTCTGTGGATTCTTTTTATCCGTGTGATTATCTGTTCTCTACTCTAAAGTATAACTGAATATCCGCTGTCACAGATTCCAGAAATAGAAGGAAGAATGCACCTAAACCGAGCTGTCGGACACTTGGCTGCAGAACCGTGTGTTCTACCTGGTGGTGTTGAAGGTGCATTCTGTGTGCTTCCTCCTACTCCTCCTGGCTGCTGTGTGCTCACCCTGAGGACAGCGAGGAGACTGGCCTCAGCACTAATCAACTTTCTGGGCCGAATTGCCATTTTTCTGCTCATGTTCAGCTGGATCCTTTGAGAAAGGAGTGGGTCTTTCCCCTCAGTGGGCAGAGAGCCAGCTTCTATTTTACAATTTCTCAGAAAAGAAAAAAAAAAGTCCAGCAACCCAGAGCCTGTGTTTATTGAAGGCTGATCTAAAAGTCTCTCATACCGTGTGCCCCATCAGCACTCGAGTGCCTCTATTTTAGAAGGATGTAGAGGTTTAATCACCCTGGTGGGGATTTAGACCCAGAGACTTCGGAGAAATCTTATTATTTCTAACTGCAGGCAAAGAGTATTAAGGCTCCACTCTGGATCAGGGGCATGACATGTTCTATAAGTAATTTATCTTTAACAGGGGAAGGCCCCTACTAGAGTGGCCTAGAAACAGAACTGTGATTGGGCACTGGCTCATGGTTCGTCCTTTTCTCTTTCCCTGTTTTGGTCTCCTGCATCTCCCTTCTGTCCTGACCTTTTCCTGCACATTCTACCCCGTATCTGTCTGCTTCTCTTTAACAGGGGAGCCAGGCACCTGCCAAGGAGAGACAATAACATGCACTCACTGACCTCTCCCAGCAGCCTGGCACAGGCCTGTCACTGCTGCAGGCTTCCGAATAGGTGTTCACTGTACCCTCTCCAAGGAAGGAGCGGGAGAAGGGAGACAGTGCTGCGGACTCCACAGGCACTCGCATCTGTGCTCCTAGGCATGAAGAAACAAGGCCCACTCTCAGCCCCATACTCAGCCCTCTCATTACCCCCGGGGCAGCACCATGGGGGCCCACATTTTTTTTCTTTCTTTCTTTTTTTTTGAGACAGGGCCTCACTGTGTAGCCTAAGCAGTCCTCCTGCCTCGGCCTCCTGAGTGCAGGGATTACAGGCATGTGCCACCATGCCCAGTGAGAGGCGCACATCTTTAGGGATGTCGCAGAGCCTCTGATTTCATCTGTATGAGCCCCACTGCCGCCCTCTCTCTGGCCCAGCTCCCTGGACCCTGCCTTCCTGGCACTGAGGTTTGGGGCCATCACAGGTGGGGCTGTGTTCATGGACTCCTTGTGCTGTTCGGGGAATATGGTTTGGCCCATGGCAGATCTAAATCTATGTTCTAATGAGCTTGGTTAGAGCAGGCTTCTGCTATCCTCTTCTAATCTAGCTTGCCTGTCTGAGTTCCTTTCCACAGTTAATGATCTCCCATAATGGTTTTGCCTTTAGTTTTGCCTCCTGGGTCAAAACAAATCAATAGTCCTCACAGATATTTAAAAACCATCAGTGTAAAGCTGCTGGGCACCGCCCCCCTCCCACTTTTCTCCTTCTGGGTAAACTTACAGCTTAGTCAGTACACTGCTGTTTCTCTCGTATCTCCTCTTGTCTCCCAGAGATGGGCAGCAGTGAGCCCCTTCGCATCGCAGACGGCAACAAGCGGAGGAAGAAGAAGCGGAAGGCCCGGGCCACTGACTCCTTGCCAGGAAGGTTTGAAGGTTTGTTGCTCCCACAGCCCTCATAGATGTGGGCCCATGGCTCTCCAGGCAGCGGTGCCTGTGGGTGCAGGTGACGGGATGCTGCATCTCAGCGGTGGGCAAGTTAACACAGGAGTGGTAGGGCGGCAGGGGGTTGACAAAGCTCTTGGACAGCACAATGGCCTCCCCCGGACAGTTAAGCACCCTCAGTGGGCAGGAAGACCAGTCTGTCAGAGCTGTACCTGGATTGCCTTGTGCGTCCTGGCACCTTGTCAGATGTGATCCTTACCCCAGCAGTTCCTGGAAGGGCTACTGAGAGGAGAACAACACATAAGAGGAAGCGAGAAATGCCAAAGGCCGAGGCTGCAATGACACTGTAGTCCTAGCTAAGGGGAGGATTCGACTCCTAGAGATCAAAGCTCCTTGTGCTGCGTGTGTGTCTGACTCCCTTTGAAAGGGTGTGTGTGGCCTGCAGCTCGGTGCTCAGGTAGTTATCACTGGGCGCACGATGGGGTGAAGTGAATCACTGAACACCTCCGCTGAGGACCAAAAGGATCAGTAGGCACTTCTAAGAGTAGCGGGTCCCCTTCACCTGTTTTTTTCTTTCATTGTGAGACCTGAAGTAGCTTCCCCTCAGGAGCCCTCAGCCCGACCTGGCAGGCACACCAGTGGTTCTGACAACAGGCACTTTATGAGTCAGGGATATTGGATTCCAACCGTCACACATCCTGACAAGTGTAAAGGATAGCGTGGAAGTGTGTACCGGGAGAGAAACATGTCATTCCAAATACAAACAACGGGGTGCCCTCTGTTCACGTAGCTTCAAGACCAACCATGGCAAAACCGAGAAAGTACTTAGGGCAAGGGTCCACTTGTTTGCCTGTCCTTAACTCAGAAGTAGAGAACTGTATGTGTGGAGGGTGGGGTAGGGGTAGGGGTTGGAGGAGACAAAATTCCCCAAGGTTATAGAACAGTTCACAAATCTACAAGTCTTGCGCACTCTCGGTGAACCCAGGAGAGTACTTCCTGTTGTTTAAGGATAGCTTACGCAATCACCGGCTCCTCGTGACAGAGTAACAAGATCTCCGGCACAGTTCAGCCTTCTGCTCAGTCTAAGGGTTTAAGACTAAGCTGCCTCAAGAGGAAAGGCTGAGGCGTGAAGGCCGAGGGAGACGAGGGCAGCTTGTGCTCTCTGTGAGCTTGGCAGGTCATCCCAGCGTTCTTTCACTCCAGGCCTACTGCTGTGTTACAGCCGCTCTGACTCACTACCTAAAACCTCAAAGCATCATTTACATCCTACTTCTGTATCTGATTTCCTGTGTGTAGCTTCCAGAAACTTCTTAGAAACCCCCATGACTTCCCTTGTACGTAGTATAAAATGCAACGGTGCTTTATTCCCCTTTGCAACACCTATGCTCAGCACAGAGCTTGGCACATTGTAGCTGCTCAGGAAATGAGTACATTAATGAATGACGTTCATTCAGCTTTGACCCCTTCTATGAGGATCCCTGGATTCGCCATATTTCCCCTTCCCCTGCCTATGCCTTTTTAAAAAACTGTCTTATCCCTCTGTGATCTCTGATGGCACTTAGCAGTTCCTGGTTTATTCTGGGGCCAGTAGGTTATCTGTCTGTCTGCCCACTGAAGTAAGAACCTTAGAGGGAAGGGACTGTATTTTATTCCTCACAATGTGCCTGTTATGCTGTCAGGCACATAGTAGGTACTCAGGAAAGGGGTACTGAATTGAAATCATTTCTCTGACCTCATCTCGAAATGAAGAACAGGATGCCTTCCATCTGGCCTTCTTGTTGAGAGACTGAGACTTGCCATGGCTGGGGAAACTCCGTGTCTTCCGCGTCACTGAGTGCTGCAGTCGTCATGGTCTCTCTGGGTGGTCAGACTGGGGAGGCTGAGCAACAGGAGCTCTTCTTCCCATCCGAGCTCGCAGCAGGCTGACTCATCTCGTTATTCCTCTCATCCGTTTCACCTCTAGATATGTACAAGCTGACCTCTGAGTTGCTGGGAGAGGGAGCCTATGCCAAAGTTCAAGGTGCTGTGAGCCTGCAGACTGGCAGAGAGTATGCTGTCAAAGTGAGTGTCTCTCCTGGATGGTCAGGCATTACTGTACAAATAGTCCCTTCCAGCTTGTCCTGAGCCAAATCTATTTTACATTCTGTAGGATGGTGGCTCAGGGAGAACCTGGGCTCTAAAGATGTAGTCACTGGATTCAAATCTTGGTCTTTTAATCGGGCAGGTTTCTCAGCTGCCCTGTCCTTCAGTTTCCTCATCTGTGAAACAGTTGTAATAATAGAGCCTGTGTATAATTGTGGTGAGACGTAAGTTACTATGTGTAAAGGGCTTAGGACAATACCTGGCTCCTGATAGGCTGCTTCCTGGTCCGCGGGACTGGCTCTGAAAGAGACATCTTCTCTTTTCTCCACCTTCCTCTGCCCCAGGAAGAAGAACATGATACCAAGAGAGCTGCCTCCATTCCTTTTAGAAAGATTGGTATAGATTATAAGTAATTTCTTTAAAAATATGCCTACCGTGGGAAAAACCACAAATGTAAATTGATTATCAAAGGCTCAGTACATTGATTGACAGATCTGTTTCTCCCAGGTTGGGTCACAGGAGGACAGCCTGGCCCTTGTTCCCTGTTCCCTTGGTTTGGCAGAGCCTTGGTTTCAGCACTGCCTGTGCCTTGTGTCACCTCTCCTCTCTGAAAGCTCGCTAGTGATGGGCTGCTTCTCCAGCATGGCTCCACAAGACTTGATTTATTAACCTGTTTCCGTTTGGTGTCCTGCTGATGGACCTCAGGGTCAGAATGGGATGTCCAGATAACCTGATCCACATTGTCTCTAGTACTCCCCAAATAGTTGTCCATGTTCTATTCCCCACCTCCAGTGGCCAGAGCCTGTTACCTCCTCAGAGAAAAACAGTGCTCTTGCTGGAAGGCCTGCCTGCTAGAAATTTCTCCCTCACTTTGACCCGAGCTGCTTGGTGTATGAGGCTGAACAGTTCATAGTTCCCCAGCACTGGACCCCATTGCCTGTTGTCGGAAAATGGACCCAGGGTGCTTTGCTGATAGATGTGGGCTTATTTAACAAGTTGCAGTTCAAGATGTGCTGCAGTGTATTGGAGACTTCTGAGGTGTGGAGCCAGCATTATCGGAAGGGAGGTGTGGGACGTCATCATCTGACGTAGGGCCAGGGCCAAGTTCAGGTCTCAGAAAACTTGTCCATAGGCTCTGTTAGGAATGGTCTGGGGTTCAGGATGGGTCCACAGAGCTTTCCAGAGTCAGCCGGCCTCCTAAAAAACCACCTGCTTCACTGTGGGCTTATGCATTTGCTAAGGACCTCAGGCAGAGGTGTGGAAGGAGCAACCCAGTTTCACAGGAGAAAAGCTTCTAGGTGCTGGGAGAAGCTGTCTAGGCAGGTGCAGATATGGGATAGTGAGGGCTTTGAGGTCAGCCCTGGGCTGTGGGCAGACTGTTTTATACTTTCCTATCTTTGGACACTGTTGTAAAGGTTAACTGAGATTAAATATATAAATTAATTAACACAGGCCAGCCAAAGAGTGAGTTCTCAGAAGAGCAAGCACTTCTGCCTGGGATCTGCAGAGTGGCATCTGAGCTTGGTCTGGAGACTTTGGTTCCTCCCGCGTCCTCCCTCACCTTTATCCTTCCTCCAGCTCCAGAAGACCCTTCTGTGGAGCCTTCGCTTCTTACCTATAGGGCAGGAATAGCTACCCTTCAGGAGGAGCTGAGCAAAGCTAGTTCTTTGTCTCTCTGGCTGCCTCAGTCTCCCCAGGGCAGCTGGAGGCAGCAGCCACCTAGGCCGCCTTGATGCCATGTGTGGCCAGGGGCACAGCCAGACTGGAAGCTCTTGGGCCAAGCTACTGCTTCGCTGAAAGAGCCACAGTGCCTGTGTCACCATGGCCCACCCCGAACTCCTGCTGGGAACTAGATTTGGACTGTGTTTGCCTTGTCTTCTCCCAGGGGGCTCCTGCCGAGGGACTGTTTTTCATAAGGTGATGTACATGACACTTTATTCTTCCCACAGATCATAGAAAAACAAGCAGGGCACAGTCGGAGTCGGGTATTCCGAGAGGTGGAGACGCTTTATCAGTGTCAAGGAAACAAGTGAGTGTGTGCGGGTGACTCGATGCTTGTCTGGGGGATGTGTGGCTGCGGAATGACTTCTTACCATCCCCTGCCCCCAGCACTTGGCCCTCGCTCCTTCCCCACAACTGCGAGTAACTCCTTCCCTCTGTCAGCAAGAGAGGGAAAGAGAGAAGAAGCAAGGGAGTAAAAGCAGCAATAACCCCAAGAAGCCATCTTCTCTTTAGCTGAAGCACTGTAAATATCAGCAGTCCAGCAAGTTAGAGGAGTAATAGGAATCAGTGGCTGGGGAAAACTGAGGTTTCATTTCTTTCCACTGCCTGTGGAAGCCTGGCCAGCTGCGTGTTGCCCGGTAGAGGTCTTTAGAGCTGCTTTAGTACCAAGATGAGTGCAAGAAGTGTTAAGGATATTCGCTGCTGTGTGCTGCTCGTAGCACACTTCCATATGCACAGGTCCCACTCGGGTCCTGGAGGAGGTCCGATGCTCCTTGCTTGATGACTGGGCCACAGTAACCTCAGCCCCCACTAAGGTTGCTCCAAACGAGTGGCACTCCCACAGTGGCTTTAAATCAGGGTCACCCCCAAGACTTGCTTCCCCATCTCTCTCCCTTCATGGCAGGGTCAGCAGGGAGCCAGTAGCCTGGTATTGATGGCTTTGTCATTAAGCTTGGAGGAAGGGGGCTGCTGTTGATTTAACTCCAGGCGCTGCCTCTACAATCTTCTTTCAAATTAGGCCATTTTGGCCATCTTATTTGGACGCCTTCACACTAGTAAAAGTCTAGTGTCTCCCAAAGTGACCAGCATTTTTTTATGAGGGACAGATTTTTATTTTCAGCCCTGCAGCTTCTTAGTTCAGCATTAGAGACTCTACTTGGTTTATTTCATTCTTTCAAAGAAAAAAAAAAAAATCCCAACACCTCCAATATCCAGGCTGGTGGCTTCCCTACTGAGTTACAAGACGACCTTGTTGGCAGAGCACGGCAATACTCGGGCAGACAGAGAGTGCTCACCGGGGAAGGCCACAAGTGCTACAGTGGCCAGGAACGCGGCCGTTTCATTAAGCAGCGCTTAGCAGTTAGGGTCTAGCGGTGCCCACGTTAGGCCCCAAGTCTATTTGACAGATGTTTCCATTTTCTCCAGGCAATGTAAATACTGCCCCGTGATTTATGGGCAAGAGGGAGGGCAAGTAATTATTTGCTGCTTGCCTCCAGGACACACACCTACTATTCAGTGTTATTAGCCGCAATTGCTTCCAGTCGGCTGCAGATTTTATTCAGTTTAATGTGACCGGGACTTTTTTATAACTCTACCTAGTGGGTTTTAGGGTTGGGGTTTGACAGCACAGACTTGGTGAAAACACCAGAGACTAAACATTATGGAAAGATAAGGTGACCTGAATCTTGCTAACACCATTGGCTGCTTCTCAAACATGGGTCTTTAATAAGCATTTTGATTTCAAGTTGATTTCTGCCCCACTACAGGGTGTTGTATATTTTTTATTTGTATATTTATAAATAGATTTTAATATATAATACTATCCCCCCTTTCCTCTCTTCCTGTTTTTCCCCAATTAAGGAACATTTTGGAGCTGATTGAGTTCTTTGAAGATGACACAAGGTTTTACTTGGTCTTTGAGAAATTGCAAGGAGGTACTTCCTGTTGAGTATGTGTTTGGATTTCGGATTAAGACCCAGGGTGACGATCATCCATCATGAATCCCAGAGACTTCTAAAATAAGTCAAGCTAATAAAAAGGATGAAGGACTTAAAAACTGCCCTTGATTTGGGAGAAGGGAGGCCGGAGGGAAGGATGATAATTAGCATTTCACAGAGCTTAGAATATCACCTGTACGGCATTCTATAAATGCTTTTTCATTATAATATGAGTCGTATATAGATACATTTAGTGATCAATTTATCAATCCCTGTTATAACACAGTCACTATTTAAATTAATTATAGACTGGAAGCTCTGGCTTACATTGTTAAGTTCAGAAAGGCTAAGCAGAGGAGAAGAGGACCCCATTGTTTGGGACAGACCCAGGATAGTGGGGAGGGCAAGAGTGCGCCATCCTTCCTTCCAGTGGGAGGATGCCCACTTGCCCGCTGCCACACAGCTGTCACCCACACAGATATCACCGGGACGTGTGTCCAGGTCATTCTTCAGACATAGTAAAGGAGACAGAGGCACTCTTCACTCCCCAACCTTCACCCAACCCTAGGACCCACTTGTAAGGTGAAGGTTACGGGGTACAGGGATGCACAGAGCTGAGTGGAGGGGCATGCAGGGCATTGGAGGTCAAGAGAGGGGGCTTTGGAGACCAGCAAGGCGAAGCTTTAGTCTGGCTCCATTGCTTACCAGCCTTGTGACCTTCAGCAAGTCTCTCCCTTTTCCAAACAGCATCTTCATCTGTAGGGTACGGACACTGATGGCACCTACTTCATGAGGTTGCTATGAAGATTAAATTAGTTAGCTATGAAATGCTTAGCTGCATGTCTGGTAAGCACTAAGTGCTCAGTACTGGCTGTTAATATTATTAAAACAGCTGCAAGTTGGGGGCTGCCTTTAAAGTCCATATATTATTCTCTGCCTTCCCTTTTAACAAATTGAGAAACAAGAGGTCCCCTGTAGCAGGGCAAGCTAGAAGAGAACCAGGAGATGGTTTTCTGAAAATGTGCCCTACCATGCTGGGATCTTTTGTTTAATCAGGTGAAGATCTTTAGTAGTTCTTCCCTGCCTTCTCTCATTCCCTCTCCGTACCAAAAATAAATAAATACACAAAAATAGCAAGCACGGCCCACTTTTAGGAAACAGAACTGATACCTTCAGCCCAGAAATTCTGGCTTTCAGTAATCAATACAAGCCCCAGTAAGCCAAGCTGTATGCTCATGTGTGTGTCTGACCCCACCCTGCCGCTGCACACCAGGACTCAAAATTCCATGTCTGCAGTGCTACAAGCAGCTGAGTCCTCTGTAGCCATAACTAGAGTGTAGCTCCACTAAAGCCAGACCCAAGGGGTAAAGAGGGAGTGTGTGACTCAGAACAGTCCGTCCCTCCAACAGATGGGACACAAGTTCAGTTGAGAAGTCTGCACAGGTGTTAGGGCCAGATGTATTACACCTAAGAATCTTGACTCCACAACTTAATGGTGTAATGTCTGGGGCAAGTTCCTTAACCATTTTTGGCATGAGGTTCCCCACTTATAAAATAAAGATAACTATGCTGCCCATTTTGTACCTTTGTGAGAATGAGATAATTTATTTAAAGAGCACTGCATAGGGGCTGGGGATTTAGCTCAGCGGCAAAGCGCCTGCCTGGCAAGCGCAAGGTCGTGAGTTCGGTTCCTGGTACCGGAGAAAAACCAAAAAACTAAAAAATAAATAAATAAATAAAGAGCACTGCATATTGCCTGGCACATAGTAAACTAATCAATAAATGTTAGCTGTTCCCAACAAAATAATAACAACATATGGGAAACTTCAGGAGGTAAAGCAGCTTCCCCCTTTTTTCCTCTACAGAGGATACTGCGTTTCCATTGGAAGGCTTGGGCTTTTGCTTGGATCTAAGCTCCTTTTTGCAGAGGAGCAAATGTCTCAGTCCTCTCAGCCCCATGTGTGTTGACTTCTAGTTCCTTTTGATTTCAGAAGCCAAATAATTCCTAGTAGCACTAATTTTTTTGCCCAATAGATACTTGTTCTCTGCCAGTTGTGAGCTCCTCGTGGACGGGCACAGAAGGTAGCAGTCTAAGTTTATTCAGCAGACAGATGCCGGCTCCTCCTCTGTGCCAGGCAGCACACTTGGGGCTGACATTTAGCACTGAGTCAGCCTATGCCCCCACCTCAGACTTGTGAAAACTCGGCCTCTAAGAAGCAGTGCTTACTAGAGCCTGCAGCGGTGATCCTCCTTTGTCCCCTGTGCTCCTCAGGCTCCATCCTAGCCCACATCCAGAGGCAGAAGCACTTCAATGAACGAGAAGCCAGCCGAGTGGTGCGAGATGTTGCTGCTGCTCTTGACTTCCTGCATACCAAAGGTGAGCTGAGCCAACCCTGGGTGGGCCGGTCAGGCTGGCCAGCGTCTGGGTACCACGGAAGGGGGCGGGCCTGCAGGGGACCTGCTCAGGAGATGGCACAGCTAGCAAACAGCTTGAGATTCAAATAAGCTCACACTGGAAGAGTCAGGGACAGTCCAGCACAGCTCCTACGCTTCTGTTACGGATGGTGGAGAGATAGTGGCACTCTTAAGTAGCACTGGGACACAGGAGAAAGTGTGAGGAAAAAGAAGGAATTGCGTATTAAACAGGGTAAGTGTGTATGTGCCTGTATATGTGGATCACGCCCTTTTCCTAATGAAAAATATAAAAATCATGCATGATGCAACCATTCTTGTGTAAATATTTTATTTGTCTTTTTGCGACAGTGTTTTACTATGCAGTTCAGGCTGGCCTTCAGCTCGCTTTGTAGTGCAGGCTGTCCTTGAACTCACAGCAGTCCTCCTGGCTCAGCCTCTTGGGTGCTGAGATTACAGGCGTGTGCCACCACACCTGGGTTTCATGTAAATATTTTAATGTCGTTCCTTTTAGTTTTTTTAAATTGGTGTAATATATATGTAATCTTATGTATCTTGTTCACAGTAAATGAAAACTGCATTTTTCTATTCGTTTGAAAGTTTGAGGTATCTGTTGAATGTCACAGTAGCAGGTTACTATTTTCTGAGTTACACTTTGCTTACAGTCCCTTTCCTAAGACTAATAATTGAAGAACGTTTGTAGTGAGGCAAGTCTTTCTGCAAATTGTTTGAACCTTTCCATAAATCTGTTGGACCATCACGTGTTTTTTAAATTCCTCAATAGCAGTACCTCAGAAACAATGAGTTCCGGCTTCACCCTTCCACCTGTGCCCTTTCAGTAATAACAGCTACCCACAGAGTTATGGTGAAGATTAGGAGCGACTGTAACATTGTCTGTAGTAGTTCGTGCAGTTGTTCTGTGCCAGGTACTGTTCTAGGCCTTTGAGTTGTATGAATTTATTTATGTAGTTTTGCACATCTTCCTATGAAAACTAAATAGACATATGTATACATATATCTGTGCATATATGAATGCATATACATATATGTATATATGATAGGTAGAGCATAGTTCCTGGCACATATTAGTTCCTCATGAAATGTTATTTCCTCCACCAAGCAGATGGCATTTTTATTCCTAATATTAATTCCTTGGAGGAAAGCATCCTGCCTGGTGGAGGTGGAGCAAAGAATCTGTGACCTGGCTGTGCTCCTTCAAGCCTGTGGCTGCTGACCAGCCACCCTGGTTGAGCTCAGGCCCAACTGCAGGCGTGATGCGAGCACACCCCACAAGGTGCCCTAACACAGTGTGGCTGGTGTGCCTGGTGTGTGGGAGGGCACAGACTGCACCTAGGCTCCTCCAGTGGCTGAAAGAGGTCTGCAAACTGCCACTGTCCATGCTGGGGCCCTGACTTGCACCTGGGATGGAAATTCCTGGCAGGGGGTGTCTGACTTTCCGCAGCTTGATGAATAGCAGCGGTTCTGTTTCTGAAAGCTGGGATGCATGTAGGTAACACCTGCCTGACAAAGATTTACAACTGCTCCCCAAGCTGCCGCTGTAGATTGCAAAACTGGGTCACGCTTTTTACAAGAGCCGTACCTTGGAGGAGGGGTAGAGGTGGTTTTATTTATTTATTTATTTACAGGACTCCACTAAAGGGAATGGAGGCAGGTGGTCTTAGGAGTTCTGAAGTGCTTGTTCACATCTAGCTGGCCAGCTGCCCATGTGACTAGGAGTTGAGGGGATGAAAAACGATTTCCAGTCGAACTTGGTTGTTTTCTAAATAACTTCATGCTGGGAAGATGAATTGGGTGAGAATGGGCCAGCCCTGAAACAAGTTCCATACTTTTAAATACTGGACACACTGTGGCTTAACCTCTGGGAAATGAACCGGGGCGGCTCGATGGCTGGTGCGCTCACACAGGCAGGTTCATTATTACAGCCTGGCTCTCCGAGTTCTCGGCCTGAAGGACGAGTGGGCCATGGGCGCCTATTCAGAGAGTCAGGCTCCGTGTGCAGCTTGTGATCCTTCTGTGGGAGCACTTGCCGTAATGGAAAATATTCTTCACTTTTAGTGTGGTGAGCAGTAGCCCGACTCAATTTGTGCAGGCTGGGCTGGGTTGCTCTGGGTTCTCATTCAATTAGGTGACTGATGAAGTTACTTAGCTTGCCGGAGCTCAGCTTCTCCTTTGCTAGGAAAGAGCCTCAGGTGGGCCAGGCCTGTGCATTCCAGTAGGGAATCAGAGGGCTGCCTAAGAGGTTGATCATCCAGTGAGTTTAGGGCAGATCCTGCCTCCTCATTACCCGCAAGAATCCTCTGCTGCTTTCCAGCCTTTGAAGTAGACTCTTGCTCAAGCTACCAGACCTGTCTCTGTTTTGTGCATGCCATGGATGGATGGTGGGAAGGGACAGGAAAAGAAAAGAAAAGAAAAGAAAAGAAAAGAAAAGAAAAGAAAAGAAAAGAAAAGAAAAGAGAAGAAAAGAGGAGAAAAGAAAAGAAGGGAAGTTAGTTTCTGTGTCCTTCTCTGGAGCACCATGGCCCTGTTTGTGTTTTGTCCCTTTCTTTTGGTTAAAATGGCTTTCACCTAGTACTATGGCCCATGCCTATAACCCTAGCTACTCAGGAGGGATACAAGTTGAGGGTAATATGGGCAACTTAGCAAGACATTGTCTCAAAATAAATTTTTCAAAGATCCGGAGTATAGCTCAATGGCAGAGTGCTTGCTAGCAGGGATGAGGCTCTGCGTTTAGTCACCAGCACCACAAAAAAAACAAAACAAAAAAAAAAAAAAAACAAATAATAAGATAGGTTTCCCTCAGACTCCTGCTTCACCAGGTCAGCAGTTTTGAACTCTTCATAGGGTGCGCTGCTGTTGCTGTCCTCTGCAGGAGGCCTGGCCAAAACAGAAGTGTCCTCTCTGAAGAACAGCACCCTCAGGCCAGGGCTGTCCTTGCAGAGGAGGTGAGAAGCAAGGCAGGCAGGCATGGAGAAATTTGAGGGAGTCCCACTGAAGGAATCTTTCTTTTCTAATCAGCTACACACGAAGAAATGAGGTAGAGCAGTCTCAGCCCCCCGAGATGCTCTTAAACGGGGCTCTAATTATTTCTGCATTGCTGTTCCAAGTATTGCCGCTTGCAGAGCTCTGTTCTGCTTTGTATTAGGCTACATAATAAGAATTCTTGGTTGTCACTGCAGTGCTGAAAGGTAGGCTGGCTGGGATTCATTTAGGCCTTCTTATCCCTGCCAGACTTCTAAAGCTTCTGCTTCAAAAGAACTTGCAAAATCAACTGTGCTTTGGTTTGTGTCTCTGGTTACTTCTGCCTCCTGCAGCTCGTTGGTTTTTTAATGTACCATAATTGGGAATTAATCTGCGAACAACAGCATTTGGAAAAAATTAATTGTGTGTGGAATGTTTGATAATTATGTGCACATGTTAACCACTTCTTTGCTGTTTGTCATTTCAGGCATTGCTCACCGAGATCTGAAGCCAGAAAATATATTGTGTGAATCTCCAGAAAAGGTACTGAGGGTCTGCTTTGGGATGTTCCAGTTCATGCTAATCAGGAAAGCCACCTTGATCTCAGCGAACTGTAGGGTGTTAGCAATGCCCTTGGCCTCGGGTACCAGCTACAACTGATTGTCATGGACACCTGAGAATGCTGTGCCTAATATGTAATGGTTCAGCATTCCAAATAGGGTTAGTTCTTGTCCCTTCTTTGCTCTTTGTCATTAACATGATTGGCTTGAGCATACGTCTTGTATAATATACGAGACCTACACAAAACTAGCGTTTCCTGGTCCTGTGTACCTACCTGTAGAGTAGTTGATGAGAGTCAGAGACAACTGAACCTTACGGTGACACATCTCTGCCCGCACATATTTGTGGTATGGTATGTATGCTACGTGATATCTGCCTTTATAATAATAAGAAGCCTGGTGTGGTCCCAGCTACTCAGGAGGCTGAGACAGGAGGATCACAAGTTTGAGGCCAACCTGGGCAAAGTAGTGATAACCTGTCTCAGAATTTTAAAAAGACTGGGGATATAGCTCTGTGGCAGAGTGCTTGCCTAGCATGCTTGAGGCCCTGCATTCAATTCATGGTACCACTAAGAAGAAGAAATAATCAGGGGGTTTGCTTTGCTTTGCTTTGCTTTGCTTTGCTTTGCTTTGCTTTGCTTTGCTTTGCTTTGCTTTGCTTTGTTTGAGACAGTGTTGCACTGTGTTGTTCAGCCTGACCTTTAGTTCATTATGTAGCCCAGGGTGACCTCAAACTCCTAACGATCGATCCTCCTACCTCAGCCTCCCAAGTGCTGGGATCACAGAGTACACCACCACACTCAGCAAAGAAGTAATAATTAGGAAGCAAGTTCTTAAGAAGAGTTTCAGTTTCCACTTCTATTTCCAAAAGTGCCCATAAAAGAGAAAACATTTACGCTTGATGTTCACCAAATGCAACCTATTTTAAGCATTGCCTCAACCCACTTTACTGGTAAATGAAAGTGTTGCATTTCCATAACAGTGTATTAAATTGGTAAGTTCTGTGTTTGTTAGGAGAGATTTAGGCCCAGTAGTATTGGTGGCCCACATCCGTGGTTCTGTGTGTGTCTATAAACATGCACAGCCAAGAGCTACATGTCTTGGAGGAAGCTGTGGCTCATGCGTAAGGCATGACTGCAAGTGAAACGTGAGTCAGCCGGCTGTACACAGCTCTGTGAGGGGACTAACAGTGAGTTAGCTCAGGTAAGATCTTCTGACTTCCTGTCCGTGGTTCTGGCATACAACTTGGTAATTTTTCATTATTATGGATATTAGAAATAATTACAGTTAACATTTCTGGAGTGCTTACACTGCAGGGACTTATATGCCTGTTTAGTATTTGTAGACTTCTTTTGAGGTAGGGACTATTACTGTCTTCATTTTATGTATAAGGAGACTGAAGCTCAGAGAGGTTAAGAAACTTACACGAAGTTAGTCCCTGGTAAGTAGAAGAGCCTGGATTAAAACTGAGGTGGGCGGACCCCACCACTGCACCAGGCCTCTGAACTACCCCCCATTGCTTCTGATTTATAAGGAATTTTCATGCCTTTGTTTCATTTGCTCTTCATGGCACAGGTTTATTGCCCCCTTTTTATGATTGGAAACACTAAAAATAAGAGAAAGCGAAAAAACAACCTACACAGTGGGAAAACATGTTTTCAAATCATATGTCTATAAGAATTTAATGTCTAAAATAACATGAAGAATTCCTAAAATTTAATAACAAAAAGATAACCCAATTTTAAAATGGCCAGGACTTTAACAGACATTTCCCTCAAGAAGACATACAAATGGCTAATGAACGCCTGAAAAGATGTTCAATATCTTTAGTCATTAGGGGAGAATCAAAACTAGAGGGAAGCCACATGTCCTTTATACCAGCACTCTGAGGGGCTGAGGCAGGAGGATTGCAAGTTCACTCCCAGCCTGGGCAACTTAATGACTTTATGAGACCCTGTCTCAAAATTAAAGAAATATGAAGGGGTAGCATAGCTCAGTTGAAGACCCTGGGTTCAACCCCAGTAGTGCAACCAAACAAACAAATGAAAAAGACACCACTACACAGCTACTACGATGGCTATATTTTTTTTAAAATAGAAAATGACGATCCATGTTGAAGACATGGGGAGTGGGGGGCTCTTCTGATCCAGGGGCCCAGAACCAAGGAGTGGCAGAGTTTGAGAAGACAGCAGCTCGGGGTTTGGGGTTCAGCGACAGTGGCCCCATCACAGAAGTTCAGGGTGGGTGGGGCGCCAAGCACACGGAGTAAGGGCCTCTTGGTCTTTGTCTTCTCAACTTGGTCCTGTTTCGACAGCAAACATGTCTCGGCCTGTCAGAAATAGGAAGGTTGTTGATTATTCAGTTTCAGGAGTCCGATGATGCAGAAGATTATGGAAGAGATTCAGGTCCTCCCACTAAGAAAATCCAATCGTCTCCTCAAGAAGCTAAAATAAGAGACAGTCTGGAAAGAATTCACAGAAAGACAGTGAGGACTCAGAAAAAAAAGATATAAAGACCAAGAAGGATGATTCTCATTCAACAGAGAAGATGAAAAAGATCATCATAAAAATGTGCACCAACAGCAGTAGGCAGCATCTAAAGCAGCTTCCAAACAGAGAGAGATGCTTGTGGAAGATGCGGGTAGTGAGGAGGAGCAAGTGGAAGAGGACGAGGCACCATTCCAGGAGAAAGATTCTGAAAGTGATGAAGATTTCCTAATGGAAGATGATTATGATAGTGACTATGGCAGTTCAAAAAAAGAAAAACAAAAAGATGGTTCGAAAGTCCAAACCTGAGAGAAAAGAAAAGAAAATGCCCAAGCCCAGGCTAAAGGCTACAGTGAGGCCAAGTCCAGTGAAAGGCAAAGGGAAAGTGGGTCATCCCACAGCTTCCAAGGTGTCAAAGGAAAAGGCTCCTCCCAAAGAAGAAGATGAGGAACCCGAAAGCCCTCCAGAGAAGAAGGCATCAGCAAGCCCCCCACCTGAGAAGTCTGGAGACAAAGGGTCCGAAGATGAAACCCAGTCTGGGGAGGATTAAAAGTGCTCAAGGGAGGAAGGGAAGGGGAGGGGAGGAGAGGGAAGGGGAGGGAAGGGAAGGGAAGGGAAGGGAAGGGAAGGGAAGGGAAGGGAAGGGAAGGGAGGGGAGGGGAAGGGAAGGGAAGGGAGGGGAGGGGAAGGGAAGGGAATTGAAGGGAAGGGAAGGGAAAGGAAAGAAGGAAGGAAGGAAGGAAGGAAGGAAGAGAGAGAGAGAAAGAGAAAGAAAGAAAGAAAGAAAAGAGAGAGGAAGAAAGAAAGAAAGAAAAAGAAAAAGAAGAGAGGAGGGGAGGGGAGGGAAGGGGAGGGGGAAGAGAACCTACTTAAGATAGAACATGGTTTTGGCCGTGGCTTGACTCATGGGCTTTCAGTGCTTTTTTCTATTTGTTGAAAATATTTTTTCTCTCTTCCCCTCTCTCACTTTTCCCCTCCCTCTTTCGCTCTTCCTCTCTTTCTCCAGAAAACCATTGTATATGGAAGTATTGAACTTACCTTTGTGTCTGTTGGTCTTCTCGTTGCCACCACTCCTACTACCCAATGAAAGCCATGTCAGATTAGTCACTGGACTGACTGGTCCATCTTTTTCTTTGTAACGGAAGATGCACGTGTGTGTGTGTGAAGCAATAAGATCTGAGATGGAGACTATGGAAACTTTGCTTTTGGCTAAAATGACTAGCGAGTTGAACAGTAATCAAAAAACAGACAGATTTTAGTTAAAAATAATTGCTTCTTTCTCTGACTGGACTCCTAAAAAAATCAATTGTCATCTAATATGTGTTTATATATCTATATACATAAGCATAAATGTCTGAAAGAAATCATGACTCTAAACTGATGAGTTCAGTAGGAGATAAAGGTGAATTCTGAATTGTTACTAAAAGTACTCATAGTTTTTACCTTAGTGGGTGGGTATGGAGTGGTGGGGATACTTGACCATATTTGGGTTTTCATTTTTTAATTTCATCATTTATCTGAAAGAGACTTGGAGCCCATGATCTTTTTATCCAGCTAGTCTTTAAGGAGCTTACAAAATACAGGGGCTACCAAAATTGAAATCACTTGATTTCATACTTTATTCTCTGGGTCATGTTTTAAAAATATGTATCCTATTTTTTGGATGAAATTTTACCAAGGATAAGAGAAAGAAAAAAAAAAAAAAAACTCTAGAACTTAAATGGCAAGATGGATCTCCACATCACAGTGGGTTTCTTTTCAAACTGACAATATTTAGGTTTTACACAAATATATGTTCCAGTTAATGTGAAACTCAAAAAAAAAAAAAAAAGAAAATAACAAGTGTTGGTGAGGATGTGGAGAAATTGGGACACTTACACATCGCTGGTGGGAATGTAAAATGTGGAAAACAGTTGGGCAATTCCTCAAAAGGCTAAACATAGAAACCCCATATGACCCAGCGATTCTCTCCTATGTATATATGAGAAGAATTGGAAACCAGGACGCAAACAGATACTCACTTGTCCACTGCTGTACATTACAGTGTTATTCGTAGTAACCACAGGGGGATCCACCCAGCTGTCCATCCGGGTGAATGGATAAACGAAATGTAAATGTATATGTCTGTATATGCAATGGAACATTATTCAGCCTGAAAACAGGCATGTTGCGTTCTGCATGTGCTGATGCATGTTACGAAAGGATGGCCCTGAAAACAATATGCAAAGTGAAAGAAGCCAGGCACACAGCATAGATGCTGTGTGCTTCCACTGGTATGAAATATCTGAGCTAGGCAGGGAATAAAGACGTAAAGTAGTTACCTGGGGCGGAGGGAGGTGGCAAGTTACTTCTGGGGTGCAGCATCTGTGTGGAGTGATGGAAAGAGTTGGGAAACAGTGGCAAGGGTGGCACAACAGCGTGAATGAAGTTAATACCACTGAATTGTACGTTTACGCATGGCTAAAATGACATCTTTTACGTTTTTGTCTTATCACAATGGAAAAGAGAGACTAAATGAAAACGAATGAGAGAAAGAAGGAAAGGAGGGGAGAAGTTAGGAGGTGGCCCAGGCTTCCCTGGTCATGAGCAGCGAGCTGGGATCCCCGGGCCAGCACCCTCATCTCCTTTCGCACCGTCCTCCTCTCTCCTGCAGACACAAGTCACGCTGCTGTGGCCACGGCCACAGGGTGCAGTCTGCTGGGCGTGGCTGCTGACCGCACACAGCCCTTGTGACTGAACAGCTCAGCTTCCCCGGGACTTTAAGCCAGCCAAGTCTCAGCAAGCGAACCGTGACATGGTGATGACTCCAAGCTGCCTGAGATGGCCAGGGTTTTACCCCAAGCTCCTCTGCCCTCCACCAAATGGACCGCAAGGGGACTGTGTTTCAGTGACACAGGAAGTTTCTGACTTACAGACATTCAAGTTGCAAACTTTCACAGTTGTACTGTGTAAGAGCCACAGATGTACTGTATAAGACTCACTTTGTCAGATTATGATGAATCTGATTCACAGACATTCTCCTGGATTGGAACTAGTTCGTAAGTCAGGGACTTACTGTACGTATTAACTTCTCTGGCTGCTGCTGCTGCTGCTTTTTTTTTTTTGTCTTTTTTTTGAGACAGAGTCTCTCTGGGTAGCCCAGGCTGGCCTTGAACTCACAGTGATCTTCCTGCCGCAGCCTCCCGAGTGCTAGGATTATAGGCACATGCAACCACCACGCCCGGCTACTTCTCTGGCTTCTGTCATGCAACCTGTGCCATTGTTTACTATCAAGAGTTCTAGTTTCACTTATGCCAAGTTCACAGCAGTCTAACACCATGTAATTCACCTGTTTTTCTCTCAGTTGGGAAATAAGGGAGAACATGACGCAGAGGACGTATTGGGAAACGTCCCCATGTGGCTCCTACTCAACCCCAGGAGATAGATGGAGGCTGGTAGATAGAGCCAGGCTGAAATGTGATGGCCATAGGCCCACGTTCCCCTTCATTATACTGGTCTCCTGGTGCCTCTGGCTTTTTGTATCCGTGACCTCTGCTTTCTGTTTCCCTTTGCAGGTGTCCCCAGTGAAAATCTGTGACTTTGACTTGGGCAGTGGGATGAAACTTAACAACTCCTGCATGCCCATAACCACACCAGAGCTGACCACTCCAGTATGTATGTCCGCCACCCTGTGCCCTTCGTATAGGGCTGCTGCGCTTGTGGGAGGCCCCTGACCCAAAGCTGTGGCATCCAGAACAGAGGGCGAAGGAAGGAAAACCAAGCATGTCTACAGCACTTCCCAGGCCCACACTGTCCTTTGCTCAGTGCTCTGAACTGGTAGTTCCCAAGCCCAATGCCTGTCCCACTGCTGACGAAACTGACGTTGGCACTTTAGTTCAATGTCAGTCATCTCTGCTAAGAAAGGGACAGATTGTCTCCATGGGCACAGGCTGTGTGCAGACTCCTGTCCCAGGTAAAAACACACTACCCCCAGCCCAGCCCAGGTTGCACATGCAGCAGTGTGCGTAGCGCTGAGTCCCGTTCCCTCGGAATCAGCACGATCCTCTTATGGCGGAGGCAGGGGGCTGTCCTCCCCGCTCAAGGAAAGAGAAGTATCCGTGGGGGGAATTGCGAAGTTCCTGACTATGTGCAGTGGGATCCCTTCGCCAAATTAACTCTTGCTTCTCCAGCTGCACATTTCACAGCCAAATGGTGCTTCCAGAAGCTACTTCTTCCACCGACATCTTTTATTATACTTGATATGCTATGATTAGGGTGTTTCTTTCAAGATTTATATGTTTCATAAGTGAATTTTCCTAATACCCTTTATAAAAGACATGTCTTGCTGGGCATGGTGGTGCACGCTTATAATGCCAGCACTTGGGAGGCTGAGGCAGGAGGATCCTTGCGAGTTCGAGACCAGCCTGGGCTACAAAATGAGCTCAAAGCCAGCCTGAACTGCATAGTGAGACCCTGTCTCTAAAAGACAAAAAAAAAAAAAAAAAGACATGTCTTTAAATGTGCCAATTCTGACTTTTTCTAAGCAACCTTATTAGGAATGTTTCTGTAGTAGTTTCTAACACACAGTCTACCTTGTTCTCAAAATCGTTAACTCTAATTGCTTATAACAAAGAAAATATCCTTTCCTGAGAGCACTTACTATCTTCCAATCAAATTAACTTCATGGGCTAGGAGTGGGGGGCTGCTTCTCAGCCTGTAGTAATAAAGAGGGGAGCAAATAAGATGTGTTTTACTCTCCTCAGCAGTTGTCTGTGCAAGGGTGGGAGAAGGAGTCCGGGATCCTCATCCGGGGTCTGCTACTGCTGCACTCCCTACTCCTTCTTGGGCCTTGCGTTTTCCATCCATAAATAGGGGAAGGAGGGAGGCTTGTCAGAATTCTTCCAGTTTTGATGGTCCCTTCTAAACCCTTACACTTCCTCTCTTCTAGTTAGTGGGGAAGCTGAGCAGGAGTCCCTTTAAGAAATCCTTGCTGGGGCTGGGGATTTAGCTCAGCGGCACAGCGCCTACCTGGCAAGCGTGAGATCGTGAGTTTGATTCCCGGTACCAGAAAAAAAACAAAAAAAAAGAAGTCCTTGCTGGATGGAGCCAGCTTTCCGAAGCCAGCCTCCCAGGCTGTATTCCTGGTACATTTAAGTTCCCGCACCACCATGGTCTGTTACAGAGTACCAAGGCACGGAGAGGCTCTCTGCCCCCTGGAGAAGGGGTGTGGTGGGCTCTTTTAAGCTTGTCTGAGTGCCTTGGTGGTATCACACAAGCCCTCTGACTTTCCTGATGATGCTGTCCTTCCATCCTCTTGCACGTTCCATCCTGCACAGCTTACATTCTACCCCTTGCCGTCCCCTCTCCTGGGACTCACCTCTTCTTTTCTCTGCCATCTCCCCATCCCCAATCCTTGGTACCCACAGTGCGGCTCTGCAGAGTACATGGCCCCGGAGGTGGTAGAGGTCTTCAGGGATGAGGCCACTTTCTACGACAAGCGCTGTGACCTGTGGAGCCTGGGCGTGGTCCTCTACATCATGCTGAGTGGCTACCCGCCCTTTGTGGGTCACTGCGGAGCTGACTGTGGCTGGGACCGGGGAGAGGTGTGCAGGGTGTGTCAGGTGAGCAGGGCCCACGTGCGGTCCCCCCAGGGGTCGGTGGAATGCCAGGCAGGGCCGGGCTGGGGGCTGCTCCTGGTCTGGTAGGGGTTTGTGCTGCCCCTTCCTCTTCCCACAGGGCAGTCATGAGCTGATGGTCAGGCAGTCAGTTCAGCTAGAAGTTTGAGGGAGGGCTGTGGGAACTCATACCTGAGCAGACTCTGAAAGGATGAGTCTTGGCTGGAGAAGAGGGACAGGGAATACGAGGAGGAACAGCACCAGCAAAGACAGAGGCTTAAAACAAAAGCTTTTGTGTGCAGGGAGGGAGAGAGAAGTATAATGCACTTAATGGTGGCGGGAGACAAGGCTCTGGAGATTGCCAGGAGGCAGGTCACAGAGCGGGCTTTGTTCTCTTGGCAGTACTCTCAGCAGCCTCCCAAGCAGCATAACTATCCTGACTTGTCAAGGGCATGCTATGCCCTGCGGAGATTTAAGGAGAAGTGGTGTGTGGGAAAGGAACTGTATCTGTAGCGTACCCAAGCCACCAGCAGCAGCTGAGGACGATTAGAACCAGTGATCAGCACAATGACAGGTGCCTCCTGCACACCCCTGGCCAGTGTGGCTTCAGGAGGAATCTTCTTTACCTAGAACAAGCTGTTTGAGAGCATCCAGGAAGGCAAGTATGAGTTCCCCGACAGGGACTGGGCTCACATCTCCAGCGAGGCCAAAGACCTCATCTCCAAGCTCCTGGTTCGAGATGCGAAGCAGAGACTCAGTGCTGCCCAAGTTCTACAGCACCCGTGGGTGCAGGGGGTGAGTGACGCCAGAGGGATGGTGTGCACCCCGACCGCGAGCAAGCTGGCATAGCAGCAAGTGAAGGACCCAGAGGCAGCTGTCACCTTTGTTGCTCTCTCTGTGGGAAGTCTGACCCTGCAGACATGCAGAGCCGAGTCCTGCTGTTGGGCAGAGGGCCTGTCTGCCGCCTCTGCTGGCTGGGGTGGGGCAGCTGTATAAAGAAGGAGCCGTGCGTACTCACAGTCTGTCCTTCCATCCTAGCAAGCTCCAGAAAGGGGACTCCCCACGCCGCAAGTCCTCCAGAGGTAAATGCTCCAACTACGCCAGCGCCTTCTCTCCTTGGCCTTGGCTTTCCCTGCAGCCCTCAGCCACATTGGGACAGAGGTGGGGCACAAGGAGACCACCTGCAGGCTCAGGGTCCTTTCGGAGAAGCTCCCGTGCCCCTTCCCGAACCCCTCAAACCCCTTCACTCTCTTCCTCCACCTCGATTGCTTCCCCTGCCCTCCAGTGCTTTTCAGGCCCCTCCTTTCATGTTTCCAGAAAAACATCTTCCACAACCACTTGACCCTCACTGGAAATCACCACTTACAGCCCGAAGACATACCATATCGGTGGGTTGTTCACACCAGGCTGTCCTGCTTGTAGAGATGGTGAAAGTTGGGGTGCAGCACTGTAAGGCAGAGGGACCAATTGTCACATACACTACAGAGTAGACAAAAGCACCGTCATATATTCTGTGTCATTGACTGAAAGGTCATTATGCAGCAGATGAGTATACTGAAATTTAAAGAGAGGTTTTCTTCATCTTACAGATGAGAAAACTGAGGAATAGAAAGATCAAGATAACTTGTTCAAGGCTGCACAGTGGCCCTTGACTGTAAGAGCCTTTTAACCACCAGATACTTACGTTTCTGACAGGCTTTACCCTATAGAGCCAAGAGAAGCAGTGTGGGAAACCCCCATAGGGGTCAGCCACGTGGCCAGTTCTGAGAAGTTTCACAGGGAAGTCTTAACCCTGCATGGTCTCTCGATTCCTTATCCCCATGGTGCTGCTGCCCAGCTGGGGTTCCTACCCGATTCTCTGGGGCTGCTTCCAGAATCCTCCTCTGAGAGCACCTGACTGTCTAGACTAGTGATTGTGGTTGAGACTCCATTGCAGCCTCCGTCAAGCAAGAATCCAAACCCAGGACGGAACTGCTTTGAAGAGAGCAGCCTACACAGCTCAGGAAACCCCGGGGAGCAGGGAGCCCAGCTGGAGCAGCTTGTTGCCAAGCCAGCCTGGCTGACCTGGGCTCCAGCCTCCCTCAGTGTCCTTTCTTGCCCCGGCAGGAACAGCAGCACCATGGATCTGACGCTCTTCGCGGCTGAAGCCATCGCTCTTAACCGCCAGCTGTCTCAGCATGAGGAGAACGAACTGGCCCAGGAGCCAGAGGCGCTGGCTGAGGGCCTCTGCTCCGTGAAGCTTTCCCCTCCCTCCAAGTCTCGCCTGGCCCGCCGGCGGGCCCTGACCCAAGCAGGCCGCAGTGGAGAGGCAGGGCTGGCCCTGACCTCCACAGAACTCTGAGCTGTTCCAGTCACATGTTCAGGCCTAGACCTGTCTGGGCATTGCACCTAGAAACCTGTGAGGCCGAAGTCTGGAGCAGGCAGAGGGGCCTTCTCTCTGGCTCCAGTCAAGCTTTCTCCACCCACAAAGGCCCAGCAGTTCCCACCCAACCCCCCTTTCCCCAGGGTCCTTGGAGGAAAAAGCTTTTTCCAAAGGGGTTGTCTTTGAAAAGGAAAGCAATCACTTGTCACTTTGCATAATCGCCTGCAGCAGGGACATCTTTTTGCGGGGCTCCACCTGCTCACCTGCCTGCAGATCCCCATCCAGCCAGCTCCGGAAGCGACAGCTGGGACCCAGCCTTCAGGGAGCCACCTTCAGGAAGCAGAACCATCGTTGGCTGACAGAGGCTGCTGACACACGTGCCTCTTCCCCCATGCACTGTCGCCCTCCCCCAGCAGTCCTTCCACCTTCCTCTGTCCTCTGGACGTCCTCTTGCCTGTCCGCTGCCTTCTGAGCAGAGCCATCCCCTCAATTCAGAAAGGGCAGGGGGCCCTTCTCCTGCAGGAGGCCAGATCAGTCTTCCCGTCTGCGGCGCAGAGGAGCACATAATCTTTCTTTGCCTCGACCATGATGTGTTCCTCATTTATCATCCTCTTCCTTCTTTGTGATTGCTGCTAAATTCAGTATTACTTTGGTTTTTAAAATGTTTTTAACCGTGCTCTTTCAGCAAACATGGAATTTTAAGCTCCCCCTTTAAGCCCATGGACTTTCCAAGGCAGAATGTCCATGTGCTTGGTTTTTAATGAGCCCCTGCCTACAGTCCTAACTAGTTTTTAAGCTGTTACTCTCATGAGCACCTTAGAAGCTGTCAGCGTCTGGTACTGCTGTGTCCCCCAGGGCCTGTGTGGAGGGTGGCACAGATGTGGGGCAGCTGGATGGAGCTTTGTGCCTGAGGCAAAGCCAGATCAGAGGCAGCCCCACTGCCTTGTTAGCAATTCACTGCCCACTGTGGGAGCATGAGGGGACAGACACTTGCAGATAAGCTATCGGGTTATATAAAATAGATTTGCGTGAGTCAGACAGACATGTATTCTACTAGGCCACTTCAATACTATCATATAGTGTGCTTGTTTTAATAAAACTTTTCAATTTTAGCTATAGTGTACTTGGTGGTCCTTTCTATCCTTGCAAACCCAAGGAGACAGGCCTCCTGGACAGGCGCTGGGCCCAGACAGGCAGGAGAAGGAGCTCTTGTCGGGAATCCGTAACTATAGCAGCACATTTGATAACACAAAAGCAATGGGGACATTGCTTTTCTGATTTTAGATGAAGAAATGAAATTCATCAAACATCCTTCTGCAAGACTCAGAGATGAGTAAGAAACATCCTCTGCTCTTTAGCTGCTGCCCTTCAGGAGACTGAGGTAGCATTAGCAGGCACCACACAAGCAGACTTCAAAAGGTACTTTTAATAGATGTCCCCACCCCATGCAGGAACAAACTTAAAGCATTCCTAAGCCTCCATGTAGGGCCTGTTGTGTGCCTAGGACCACACTTGTCCTGCCAGAGCTGGCAACAAAGCAAAACGGTGCCTGCCATCCCTAGCCTCTGTGTACACCGTGAGAGACTTCCGTGTACATCATCCTGTGTGATAAATCCCAGAACCACACTGAAGAGACCTAGGTGAGAAGGACCTCTGTAAGTTCCTAAGAAGGTGGCAGAGGGAGGGCTGAGGATCAGGGCGTGGACTGGGTGCTGACAACGGCTCTTTGCCCTGGGGAAAGCAGAGAGGAGGTGGGCCTAGGCGCTTCCTTCTGGCTATCAGCTGTCCCACACTACGAGTGCCTGCACGTGTGTGTGACATTTCTTGTTGATCTTCCTTTTGCAGTGATCGTAACTACCTTCATATTCCTGCCTGAAGTGAAGTCAGACTGTAGAACCTGAGCTTCTTGGCCCAAAGGCTCCCTGATGCCAGGGACCCAGAACCAGGAGAGGAGTTCTGTGCCTGGACTTCAGCCCCAGCCCGATCAGTCCACCCCCAGGTTGGCCCAACAGGAATGTGACTTCAGGGGACTTCATGACTCAAACATAGTCCACCTCAGCCCCATCCTGCCCTGCTCACCCCCTCCCGCCCTAGCGCTCCAGCCTCTCACCTGCCTGCTCATGCCAGTCCCCACGGCAAGGCCCCTCTCCCCTCTGGCTCTGCTTAAGCGCTACTGTGCCCCCTTCAGTCCTAGTAACATTGTTGGGCGCTAAGCAGCCATGCTTTCTAAGGGGTTTACAGACATTATTTCTCACAGCAGTGCCATGAGGTTGGTACCATGGTTTTTTTCTGACTTAACATGAAAAACGGAGTGAGAAAGGAAAAATCATGTGCCCAGGGCTGTAAGCTAGGAATGCTGCCCAGGTTCAAATCCCAGATCAGCAGCTTATTGGCTTTGGGCCTTGGGCAAGTTCCTTAGTCTCCGAGGGTTTCTTCCGCTGTGAAGGGGAATGAGAGTGCTAAGTTCACGCGCTGCTGTGAATGTTACAAAGTAAGAAGTGTAAAATATTGAGAGGAATTCCTGGCACACGTAGTACGTGCTCCATACATATCTGCTAGGCTAGTTTTAGTTCTGTTTGCTGTTGTCTGCTGGGGCAGAATTATCCCACTCCCATTTCCAGGGATGGAGATGAACTTCCCCTTCCCTTTGGCTTAGGGAGCCTGCTGTGGAAGGGCTTGTGTGGTGGAGTTGGCAGCCATTTTGAGATGAGCCAGGCTTGATCCCTCCTTGGGATTCTCTTGTGGACGGTCTGATGTGCCCCTTTGGGCTAGAGTACCCTGTCCCAGAAAGGTAACTGTGGCACCAGGGAAAGAACCTGTGGTCAGGGTCCAAAGGTCCTGCCTCTGCCACTATCCACAGGGAGCCCTGGAAAACCTGGCAGAAGCAAATAGGGCAGATGCACTGAGGGAGACTCTGGGATGAGAGCCCTATCTAGCCATAGGACTTGCAATGGTGGAAGCCAGTTCCCCAGTTTCAGGGCTCACACTGGGCTGGACCTTAGGAGAGGGCTGGTCTCAACCAGCTGGAAAGTCTTATACCTCATGCCCTTTCCCCAAATAGCAGGCCTTGGCCTCAGCCCTTCCTGCTTCCGTCAAAACCCTGAGGACTCCCGTCTGAAGGCTTCTAGCTAAGGGAGCAATCAAGTCTTTCTGCCTCCATATGTGCACATGCCTGGGCGCTAGGACCCCACCTCTCACCTGGCCCACTACCCCTCACCAGACCCACCTCCACAGACGGCAGTGCCTCAGCCCATGCCAACAGCTCCTGCTGCTTCAGGTCTGGAGGGGGCTCAAGAGCAAGGTCCCCCCAAGGCTGACACTCTTGTTGCCATGGAAGCGGTTGCCTTGGAAGCTGCTTCCTAACTTCAGCTTCTGAATGGTCCAGGAAAGCTGCCTGTCCCCCAGGGATGGGTGCATTAATCATACTCTTTTCCCTGGTTCTTACCCCTCAAAGGAAATAAACAGAGCCAAACGAATCTGCAGCCTGTTCTCCCACCCTTCCCATCCTCACGCCATACTTGGACTTGGTGTTTCTGCGAAGGAAAGAGCACAGGCAGCAGCCCCGGCCTCACCAGGAGATGAGGAGAGATTTTGCAGTGGAGTCCTGAGCACTGTGGCTCCGGGAGGACCCAGGCTCCCGGAGGGCTCTGATGCTTGGGACTTTGGGGATGAGTCTGGAGACCCATGGCGCTTGGGCTGTGGTGCCTGGGCTCACTTAACTGTTACTTTAAGCAGATCACTGAAGGACCAAAATATATTTTCTTTTTCAGGGATTATGGGGCCCATAAGGAGGAAGGAATTGCATTTGCAATCAGTGGAGGAGCAGGCATCACAGCTGGTTCAGGAGCCCTTAATGACACTTTCTGGTTCAGAGGAAGGCACATTCCTAGACACATTCCTTTGACCACAGTTCCTCCCTCTGAGGCTGCATGCTATGTTTTGGATATGGTTGAGTGTGTTCCCCAAGTTCATGTGTGTGTTGGTTTGGGGGCTTATTTTGCAAGGCAAAATAGAATACAGGACACATATTTTTAAGATTATTTATAATAGTCCCCCAAAGAATGATATACAAAAGAGTGCAGGAAATCTGTTCACATACTAAGACCAAGGAATCCAGCTGAAGGCCTAGATCCCACGGAAATGTCCTGTATAAATCCAGCTTAAGACCTAGAGCTCATAACTGCCTCCCACGAGTCCACCTGGAGGCCCAGAGCTCAAAACAATATCTCATGCAGGCCTGTTTCATGGATCTGTGCTGCGAAGGCCCAAAGGTCAGTGGTGGGATCTAGGAAGTCTGTGCCAGCGGGATGAAGGATCTGTGCTAGCAGGCTGAGGGATCTGCACTGGAGCCAGGAAGCAACGCTCAGAAGAACCAGAGCTCCCCCAAAAAGGTAGCACGGCCATCCTCAGCAACAGTGAGGTCCGAGCTCTTCCGATGATCAAGATGGGCGAGTTCCCATCAGGGAAGCCAATGCAGCAAGTTTCTCCAGAAGACCGGCAGTGCACCATCTTCCCCTCTGGAGCCAGGAAGTGATGCTCAAAGTGGGGACCAGAGCACCCCCAAATGAACCAAACCCATTCTCAGTGTCAATGAGGTCCAGAGCTCCTCGGAGGATGAAAACAGCCAAGTTCATCAGGAAAGCCAGCATGACGTGCTCCTTCCAAACAACCAACAGCTCCTTACAGTTTCTACCAGTTTCCAACAGCCTTTCTCCGCTCCCAACAGCCTCCTTAATTCCCATAAGCCTTTTTTCTACTTCTCCAGTTCTGCCTCTTATGCTGCGGGCGACATCCCCAGGTAGGCCTCCTACACCCAGCACCACACTTACTCAGTTCAGCTGGGGGTTATAAGTTGACCACCAGTTGCCAATCCACTACAATGTGTCAGCGCTGGGTCCTCAGTGTGGCAGTGTTGGGTGGTGGTAGTAAGAAGTGGGGTCCAGCTGATGGTGTTAGGGCACTGGGGTCACTGCCCTTGGAAGGAATTAATGCTGATCTTATGGAGTGAGTGAGTCTTGTGAGTGGGTTGTTACAGAGCAAGACTAGCTTCTCCCCTGCTTCCTGACTTCTTATCTCACTGTGTGATCTCTGGCTCACACATTCTTCTCCCGATGTGATGCCATCCCCCATGAGGCCCTTAACAGAAGCCAAATGGATGGGGCTGTCCAATTTTGGACTTTCAGCCACCAAAATTGTAAGCCAAATAAACCTCTTCTCTTTATAAAATATCTGGCCTCAGGTATTTTGTTACAACAGAGAATGGACCAACACAGTAGGGATGCCAATTCCTCTCACTTCACAATGTAGAAATTCAGGAGAGGGGCATGCTAGAGAACTTCCCAGCTGAGCAGAAGCCCAGGTGCACAGGTTCTACTGAGGCTCTGGGAAAGTTCCTCTTCCTTCCTATGTCTGGGTTTTCCCATGTATTCCACAAGGAAGCTGGGTTATCAGACAAGATAACTGATACTGGCTTCAGGTGTCTGTCCTCCCTCTCCCCTCCCCTAACTCTTTCTTTGCCCAGAGGGATTTACAATGTCAAAGAAAATTTCTAACTTGGAATTTGATCTCCAGTTTTTCTCTCGAATCTGGTACTCACGGCACACGGGCATCCTGCCCCTGCCCCTGCCTCTGCACTGCAGCCCAGGTGCCCAGAGCACTGTCAGGAGCACGGCCCAAGAGGTTCTGTCTTGCTGTCTGGCTGGGGAGACCCAGCCTTGGAGTGATGTGAACACTTAAAGTTGAGGGACACAGCTCTATGGAGGGTACTCGGGTTCCCAAAGCAGGACTTCTGAGAAACACATTTGCGTGGACACTTACTCTGGCAGCTCCTTCTAAAACTAGTTAGGAGGGCTCAGTTACATGTGACAGACACATGAGCTGTCATTTGATGCGTGATTAGGGAATAACCACACCTCATCCTGACAGGAGACACGGGGGATGCTGATGGGCCAGTGGAGACTCAGGAACAGCTGGCTCCAGGGCCCTCCTCTTTATGGGGTCCTGAGGGCTCCTCCATGCCCTGTGGCTTCCTCCGCTCTGGCTTCTTGGTGGTGCCTTCCTACAGCTGAAGCTCCCTCAGGTGACCCTGGGAACTTCTTAGGCCCCCTGTCCACATGGAGAGGAGATGTTGGTAATAGGCAGTTTCCATGTGCCACAGCCTTCCTGTTTGCTGACCCAAGGTGGTTGTGCGGTCTGAACCCTCTCCCTGCACTCTGACCTATGGCCAAATCCCTCCGGCCATGGCACCCTGTAGAAAGCAGAGAGGACACGGACGGAGAGTGGGCCCTTCAGGTGGTGGGTGCTCACTGGTCCAGGCCTGGTCCGGGCTAGCCATGCAGGCTCTTCTGAGGAGGGGGGCAGTTCCAGCCAGCAGGGGGCAAACGGGCTCAGGTAGGGAGGGCAGGATGGGAGGGGAGGAGCAGCTGTGGAGGCAGGAGACCCTTATCTGGCTGAGACTGCAGATATGATAGGAAGAGAGGGGGTAGCCAAAAGAAGCCCATAGGGCCAGTGACCACACTTCAACAGGGTAACAGGACCTGGGATGTGCCCAGGTGAGGGGCGGGCGGTATTCTGGGACAGTGAAGGCGCTGATCCACAAAGGGCCAGAGAACTCAAGAAGGCTGGAATTGGAGGCTGGTGGCAAGCAGGGCTCCAAGATCAAGGTTGGACAGGGTTGGGTTACTGCTGCCCAGGCTTGGCTTAGTGAATCCTGCAAGTAGGTCAGTCAGGCTGGGTGGGTGTTGGAAAGTGTCCCGGCCTCCTATTCCTGTCTTGTTGACATCCAGCACCCCTTCCAGTTCTTCCCACCCCTACCCCGTGCCCACCACTACCACTGCTGCTCCCTGTCCACTCCCAGCGAGGGGTGGCAGGAAGAGCTCAATAAAGGGAGTCGGGGGCTGGGGATTTAGCTCAGCGGCAAAGCGCCTGCCTGGCAAGCGCAAGGTCGTGAGTTCAGTTCCCAGTACCGGAGAAAAACCAAAAAAAAAAAAAAGGGGAGTGGGGACCCTAAATCAAGCCTCAAACTAGGACACCTGAGCCCTGCCAAAGGTTGACAGGGTGAAGGGGGCAGAGTAGAGTGTGGACTTGGAGGGTTACCTCCTCCTTCTGACCCACTCACAGCTCCCATCTCCTGAACCCTGTGCCATATCTTCTTCCATGTCGCAGTCTCTAGGTCTCCAAGTAGGAGTCTCGGGTGCACCTCCAGGCCAGAGGGCAGGGGAGCAGATGGGTGTGTAACCAGGGAGTCCCCTCACATCCCTGACCTCTGACCCCATGTGAAGCCACCAGCTCATTCTTTCTGCTCAGGAACCAGCAGCGGAACCTGCAGGGACTGCCCACTGGGCCTCCAGGACCCAGGCTGTGGCTCACATTGCAACCTCATGAATAACTCAGCACCTCCAGCCGTCTGCATCTCTGGGGAACCTGCCCACCCCGCCTCTCACTGCTTTAAACTTTAATAGGCCTAGGCTCAGGCTCCAGGCAGGCTCCAGAAAGCCAGGTCAGGATGTCCTGGGCAAAGCAGCAGGCCCTGATCCTGGAAAGAGGGGAGGATACCCTGGGGCAGGCCCAGCTCCCTAGAACTCCAGTAGCTGAAGTAGAAATCTGGCCAGGCAGAAGTCCCAAGAGCGGCCTCCAGCTGCACTGCTCTTTGGGGGACTAAGGGTGAGCTGGGGTCCCCAGGTCAAGGTGAGGCTGAGAAGTCCTAGGAGAGCTGTGGGATGAGGTTGTAGATAAATCCAAAGGTTACCAGCCTAGACCCTTCATCTTACCCAGAAACTCCCATCCTGAGGGTGGGACTTCAACAAGGCGACATCCAAGAGGACCGAGAACCCACCCCCATGTAGGCCTGCATGGATGTCCCCATCAACAGCAGAGACTTCCACTGTCTGCAGCTGGCCTGCGTGGCCCTTGGCCTGGTGGCCGGCAGCATCATCATCGGTGTCTCCGTGTCCAAGGCCGCAGCTGCCGTGGGCGGTGTCTTCCTTGGTGCTGCTGGGCTAGGTGAGCAGGAGCTGGGCTGGGGCAGAAGGGAGGAGATCCTGGTGGGGAACAGGGGCCTGGTCATGTGAGCAAGAAATGGTGGGATGAGCTGGATTTGCAGGAATTGGCTGGGGAGAATGGAAGCTGCATGTGTGTGCAAGGTAGCCATCAAGGGTACAGGGAGGAGAAAAGAACTGAGGTGGGACCCCCAGTTGAGTAGACAGGGGTGGGGGCTGCTTGTCACACTCTTTTCTAGCTGCCTGTGTCTGGCTCCCCAGCCCCACGCCCCAGACTCTTGGGTTTTCCGGTTAATGGCAGGATTCATCAGCCTGTTTGCGGTGGCTTGGTGGGGATAAACAAAACAGCACAGCTGTGCTCAGATAAAGGGCTCCTCTTTTCGCCTCAGCAGTGGCTCTGCCCATCCGCCTGTCTGAGGCAGGCCCACTGACATACCCAGAGTGACAGTGAATGTCGTCTTTCCCCCCACCCTACCCCGAGGGCTGAAAACAGAACATGGAGCCTCAAGGTGGTGGCTCTAGGCATCTGTACCCAGAATTCCTGCGCAAGCACTCGGTCTCAAGGGGAGCAGGGGTAAGCGGGGCAGAACCCGCTCTGCGCTCCAGGAGCGGGGGAGGAGCACGCAGAGAAGCCTGTGACTCCAGCCCTGGGGGTTCAAAGGAAGGGAAGGGAGAGCTGTGGGGTTGGCCTCAGCCGGACCTGACTGCAGCCAGCTAGGAAGCAAGAAAGCCACACTTACCTGGGCTGGGTGGACCCAGGAGCCTGTGGCCAGCACTGTCTGTAGCCCTTGCCCCAGATAAGCACTGCCCCCTAACCCAGGCTGGGTGTTGGGGAGCTGCCCCACGTACACACTCACTGGCTCCCATTTACACACCCACACTTCCAATCCTGCACGCTTGGGCTCTTCCCGTGCACACCCAGGTCACCCTCATAAGCTCCTCTCCAGGCTCACAGCCCACTCCCAGCCCCTGCACCTCACACTAACCAGGTCCTTTTCCCATCGCAGAACCCCTTTGCATTTCTCTTCTCAGGTCTCCTCATCTTCGCCTACCCCTTCCTGAAGGCTCGGTTCAACCTGGACCACATCCTGCCTTCCATAGGTGAGTCTTCTCCCTGACCCCAGCAGAGCCTTCTGCCAAGGACTGTGCAAGCCCCTTTGTGTATATTGTGGCTGTGCTGTGAGGACCCATGTGTGAGGCTGCTCTTGACACGTGTGGTGGAGTTGCTGTGCGTGTGTATTGCGCAGTCGTTGCCATGACTACGGTGCAGCAGAATCCAGCCTGTTGCCTGCAGCAAAGGTGTTGGAACCTAGAGAACCCATCTTCCTTGAGAGCTTTTCCATTCCTCCACAGCCTCCTAGGTCTCCAGATTATCCCCCGTGTCCTTAAGGCCCCATAAAGAGCCTCTCTCCCCTAGGGTCCCAAGACTTCCGAGCAGCTCCCAGCTCATCCCAGCGATCCACATACAGACTCCACACTCCCTCAACCCTAAGGAGTCTTACATGCTCCCAGTTCTCCCCAAGACCCCAGTCTCCCTAAAAATCTACCATCTCCTTCAAAGACTCTTGAAGTTCTTCTGCCCCTCCCCAAATCAGCCCAGATCATGCGGTAGACTTAAAGTAATATAGTGGAAAAGGACACCAGCAGGAACAGGGATTAGGCAGCAGGGAGGACGTTCTCCAGCAAAAAGGGCTTGATCTGACCTTGGCTCAGCTACCAGGGGGTCTCATCCCACAGGGGGCCTGAGAATCCACCCTAACCCAGGACCAGACCACGGAGAGGGAAGATCCAACAGCAACAGCAACAAGGAAGGTAAGGTCCTGAAATTCTGGAGTCCATCTATCTTTCATCTCTCCTGCCTGGTTGGGCAGCCTTGTGGGGCCCCAGGAGAACCTCTGAGGGCCATGCAGAGAGACATCCCCAGCCAGGGAAGCAGCATCACTGGCTGGTTCTTCCCTGTGTTCAAATCTTTCTTGTTCCAGGTTGAGCTGGCCTCTTCATGTCTGTCCTTGGGGCTCCTCTGTCCTGCCCAAAATGGACCCTGGGGCAGGAGCCCCCTCACTGTCTCTTGTCCTCCCTCAGGTTGCATTGCCTAGCTTATTTTCCCCACTCGTCTCTCTGTGGTGGAATCTGACTCTCAGAGCTGATACCTGAAACTGGGCGTCTTCTCCTCCCCTCCATCCCATCCCACATACACTGGAAAATCCCAGGGCCAGGGCAGCCCAAAGCCTGCAGATTCTACCACAGTACGTACTCAGCAGAAGGTCCCATCCCAGACACTGTCTGGAGCACTTTCCACTTACTCATGTTTTAATTCGCATAACCACCGCGTGAGGGAGGTACTGCAATGAGCTTTGGTTTATATGTGTAGCAGGGGGTCACAGAGCGATCAAGTGACACACCCAAGACCACACAGCTAGGGAGCAGGGCAGCCAGCACTCAAGCTACCAGCAGCTCCCTGGTGACTCAAGCTACCTACCTCTCCCCACACTGCACTGCTCTCTTCTTGATAGGCTGTCTGATCCGTGCTGGCTGACAGTTCCCCGTGGGACTCTCCTCTCTCCCCACCCATGCTGGCTGTGCCCTCGGGTCACTGGGCACTGATCCAGGGTCCTTTTGGGTTCCTCCACCCCAAACGACTCCAGGCAGCACTTGTCCTGCTCTCTCCCCAGGGGGCCGCAGCAGCCTGTCCACTGTGAGCAGGACCTTGGAGAAGTTGAAGCCAGGAGCCCGGGGCACCGAGGAAGGCTGAGGAACTGCCCCTGCCCTGCCATCCATTCCTGCCTGCTACCCCTATCTCATCAGAGCCCTCTGGTCCTAGCTCAAAGCCAGTGCCAGGGATGAGCCAGTGCCCTGGAGACACCACACCTGCATTTGCCTCCGGCTGAGGCTCAAAACAGATTCCATGGGCATTGCTACAGGCCCCAAGGGGCTCTTGCATTTCCGTCTCATTCCTCGCTTTTCTTTCTGGACTGCAGCTCTGTTTTGCTCCCTTTTTGATCTCCTAAGTGATTGCTCTGAATCTGAGGCCCAGAATCCTAACTACCACCAGGTAGACCCCAGTCCCTTGCTTCATTCTGGCCACTGAAGCTAACACAGGCCCAGAGGAGCCACAGATTGGGGCCCTAGCTGTCCTTTAGCCCCCACAGCCTGGCTCTGGATCTTTGGAGCTCACCAGCTGAATGGATGCCTTTCAAAATGGCAACTTCTGGTCAACTCCTCAGCAAAAGCCCCTGAGTAGTGGTGAATCGCAGGGGCCATGTCCTTGAGGGGCTCAGAAGAGAGAGACTCAAAAAGGGACAGACACAGACAAAATGACCACCACTATGACAGGAGTCAAGATGAGCCTCCGACCTAGCATAGGGTCAGAGAAGGCGGACCCCAGGTGAGCCCCATCCTGGGATTCTTGCTATTTGATTCCACCACTCAGGGCTTTGCACTCTGTGACTCCTCCCTCCGGCCTTCCCGCTGCTCCCTAACAAGCGTCTGGGCCTTGGTTTTGTCGGCCGCCTATCAACCTCCGCTGCCTACTGCAAGTCCCCTGACCACACAAACTTCATCCTCTTCCACCAGACTGTGTCCCCTCTCTCTTGAGACTGGTGGGGAGGCTCAAAGTCTTTCACAAAGCAATTATTACGTCTACTTAAACACAATGATTGCCTACTGAATGTCATCCCTTTTCCAATCCTTAGTACATGACAGGACACACAACTAGTGCTCAGGACACTCGGTGAGTGACAATGCTTAATTTTAGAAGGGAAACAGTCCCCTAGGCTTTTCTGGAGAGTCACAGAGGGCCCTGTCTATCACAGGGTTTAGGGCGGGGAGGCCCAAGTGCTCCTCGCTCCTCTCCTAGACGTCCAGGTGTTATTTGGCCTTCACAGCATTGCTCGGCCTCTACGGAGACATCTGCTCCATGTGGCCTCTGTCGTGGTTTGACAGAAGACAAGGTAGAACATGCTCACTCTTCCAGGATCAGTGCAGATGACTCCTCTTCTTGGAAGCACCCCCAATCTTCAGAAGCTCCCACTGCCCCCAGGGCTTCCCTCTGAGTGGCTCTGGTCTATCTGCCCCCACTTCAAAGTGGGAGCGGAGGCTCAGGCACACACAAGGCACCTAGTGAATGCTGAAACACCAAACCAAAGGAGACGGAGCCCATCTCATTGTACAGATGGGAAAGCTGAGACCCTGCAGGAACAAGGACCGGTCCAGTACCCCAGGGCAAGTTGTGAAGCCAGGTTTGCATTCAGGTCTCCTCTCTCTCTGCACCCAGGGCTCTGTCCTCCACACAGGCCACGGGGCTTCACTCCCCAACCGCAGAGGGAGCCATTGAGAAGGGACTGAATGTCACACGTGCTGGCAGTGGAGGAGACTGGCTCTTCCTCTAGCCCGAGGGAGTCACTTCCTCTCTCCTTTAATTCCTCTCCTCTCCACTTCCTTTTTACCTGTTCTCTGTATCTTCTTCTTTCCCTCTTCCTTTTCTTCAACAGTATGTCCTGAACGATGAGGAAACTCTTCCTCCCATTCACCTTCAGTCCTTACCTACTCCTGATCGATGAGGAAACTCTTCCTCCCATTCACCTTCAGTCCTTACCTCAGTGCCCCAAGGAGATATACCCAAGGGTGGAGGAGGTGGGAGCGGAGAATGTGAACCTAAACTATGGGGAGGGTGGCTCCTCCCATCAGCCCCTCTCAGCCATGATCTCCCCAAGGCAGGACCATGGCATCTCCAGTGGCTTGAAGGGCCAGGTACAGAGAGGCACTGGGGATCAGGGCAGAGGAAAAAATTAAATTAAGGAATGAACCCAGAATAGTGGTACACTCCTAAAATCCACCACTCCAGGAGGCTCAAGTAGGAGGATCACAAGTTCAGGCCCAGGCCCAGCCTGGGCAATTTATCGAGACCTTACCTTAAAATTAAAACATAAAATAAGATAAAAATAAACTAAGGAATGATCATATAAGGTAGCAGGAGCTATGTTCACTGGGGAAGAACTGAGTTTAAAAAGACCCTTGGGGCCGGGGATATAGCTCAGCAGCACAAGCACCCGCCTGGCAAGCACAAGTTCCTGAGTTTGATCCCCAGTACCAAAAAAAAGACACTTGGGGCCTGGGCCTCTGGGTCCTCTCTTTTCCCTGTTGTGAGTTTCCTGAAACGTGCTTCCCTCCAGAACAGGTGAATATTTAGACACAGTCTCCCCAAGAATATCTCTACCCCAACACTGACCACCCCACATCACAGAAGTGGGTTATCTGAGACCCCTGCCTTCTCTCCTCGCTCAGGCTTTGAGAAGAGGTGGGGGGCCCGGCTGGTGGGGCTGGCATAGTAGAGGGACCATAAAACCCTCCAGTGACCCCACATGGGCACGTTCGGACAGGGACCCAGCTCTTGCAGCAGTCTGTTCAATAAAGGAGATGGGTTCTACCCAGTAAGCATAATCCAGCACCTGGATTGGGCTGTGCCCACTGTGCCCTAGGCTGGGTACTGGGAACACAACAGTGGGCCAGATGTGGAGAGTGCCTGGTCCAGGAAGCGCCTTAAAGTCACATCTCTGCTGGGCCAAGCTGTAGGACTGTTATGGTTTGGACAGTGAATGTCCCCCAAAGGCCTTGTGAGCTCTTAGGTTGGATTTTTGGAAGACAACATAGCTGATTTACTGTTAGGGTCAGGACCCAGTGGGAAGAAGCACGTGGCTGGGGGCGTGGCCTGGGAGGGTGTCTCTCCCATCCTGGCTCCTCCCTTCGCTCTCTGCCTCCTGTAGTTTGGGGTTTTGCAAGGGGAACTTTTCAGGACACTTAATTATAAGATTATTTTATAATAGTCACCCAAAGAGTCATATACAAAAAGAGTGCTGGAAATCTGTCCACACACTAAAGACCAAAGAATCCAATTGAAGGCCTGGATCCCACGATTATGCCCTGCATGAGTCCAGTGGAAGACCTAGAGCCAGTAACAACGCCCCTACAAGCCCAGCTGGAGGCCAACAGCCTGCGACAACGTCTCACGCAGGCCTATTTCATGGATCTGCGCTGGGACGGCCCAAAGATCAATGGTGGAAGCTAGAAAGTCCACGCCAGCAGGACAAAGGATCTGTGCTAACAGGCTGAGGAATCTGCCCTGGAGCCAAGAAGCAACACTCAAAGTAAGAACCAGAGCTCCCCCGAAAAGTACCACAGCCATCCTCAGCAACAGCGAGGACCTGATCTCCTATTAGGAAAGCCAGCATGACAAGTTTCTCCAGAAGACTGAGCAATGCACCATCTTCCCCTCCAGAGCCAAGAAGCGATGCTCAAAGCGAAGGACCAGGGCTCCCCCAAAGTGAACCATAGCCATTCTCAGCAACAAGGTCCCGAGCTCCTTGGAGAATGAAAATAGCCGAGTCCATCAGGAAAGCCAACATGACAAGCTCCTCCAGGAAAACCAACAGCTCCCTACAGCTTCCCTAACAGCTTCTAAACTTCTTCCTCTCCAGTTCTGTCTCTTACGCTGCAAGCAAGGATCCTCAGATGGGCCTCACACACCCAGCACCACACTGGTTCAGTTCAGCTGGGTGTTCCAAGTTGATCACCAGTTGTCAATCCACCACATCACCCCTCTGAGCAGCTCTCGGCCACCCAGGCCCTTCCACCGCGTTGTTTCCATGGTTAAGCCTACCAAATACAGACTGAAACTTCTGAACTGTGAGCACAAATAAACGTCTCCTCCTTCGAATTATAGGTGTCAGGTATCTTATTCCAGCAATGACAAGGTGGCTGAACACCCGGCCAGCTGGGACAGGGGTCAGGAAGTAGAGGTCCTTGAGCCCAGGTGTCATCTGCAGACAGAAGCTGCGCACTCACAGGGCCACTCGGGTGGGGCCCCTGTCACAGGGACACCTGGTGGGGCTTGTAAACAGACCTGTGGCTGAAGGAAAGGGGAGGTGGGCTGCGAAACCCTCCAGGCTGAACCCCTCCAGGCCTGGAAAGCCTGCACTGCACACTCCTCCCTACCCGCTAGGCCTCTGGCAACACAGTCCGGCCTGGAGCCCCCTGGAGCACCGCACCAAGGCTCCAAGCTCCAAGCCTGATAGCTGTTTGCACAACTCCCACCCGGAAATAGAGTTACCCCAGGGGCTCCTGGCCACACCCCTTTCTAGGCTGCAGCATTGGAGGGGGTTGATTGGGAAGGGGCGCTGACAAGCCTCAGCCTTAGAAACTGCTCCTGCCCCCACAGCGCCAGGGCCCTGGGGGCGGGGGGACTGGAGAGCGTCGGAAGCTGAAGGCAGGGCCAGTGCCACCTGTAGCCCCTGGGCCGGCGCGAGTTTCGCTCTACCCAGGCCCGCACCAGCGAGTGCAGCCAGGTTGTGTGGGCGGGCGGGAGTTATTTGCTGGGGAGCTTGCAAACTGCGGAACCCAGAGGAGCGAAGGGGAGCAGAGGCTGACGGCGCGAGCTGGGGGCCGGAGGCGCCTTGCGGGCACCAGACGCCGTGGGCAGTGGGCGCTGCGCCAGTGGGCTGCGGCGGGGCCCGCGCTCCCCTCCAGCCAGCCGCCGCCTTCACGGGAGCCGCCCTAGGGGAGCCTGCGGGCCTGGCGCCCCCGCACCCGCAGCCCCTCTCTGCCCTCGGGATCTGCACACGGCCGGCCCGCACCGGGCCCACCTCGCCGCGCCCCTTTGGCTCCGGCCCCGCCCGGCCCAGATCCTGGAAGTCTGCGGGCTGCGGACACGGACACGCGCGCTCCCCGGCCGCCCAGCGCTCAGGGGAGCCAGGTTGGGCCTCGGGGAGGTCCTCGCACGCCTCAGGCAAGTCAAGGGTG